TCAAGTTCTTGCTTATCAGCTTCGGAAACTTGCAACTCTTCTGCGCCCGTCACGCTTCTGAAACTTTCCCAGATTTCTTGCAAATCTTTTCCCTTGACATCTATCGTTTTGACTGTCTCCGATTCTAACGGGGCGGGAGCGAATTCATCGGTTGTCGTTGAGGTTGACGCAGCATCCTTGTTCGCGAAGTATAACGTTAATGTGGCCGGGCCGGCATTGTTGTCTGTCTGTTTTACCGACATCGCAAGGCCGGGATTGTAGTATTTTAATCGGGGTAGACACTGGCGCCAGAATTTGCGGGCTCCCATATGGCCTTCGTAAATTGTGCGAGCATAGGTAAGGTGGAGACGGGTGATAGGGGAAACCTTTGAGGTCGACGAGGTCGATGGGAGTATGGCGGCCCCGAGCCCGACTCTGATATCTAGAAGCTATTTCAAAGAGCATATCTTAGCGGAATTCGTGTTAGATAAGACGCAATGCGGAGATTGAACAATCCAGGGCGAACGCGATTGGGAAATTTGGATCATGTCCGACATCGAATACATCGAAGGTAGTACGTACTCTCTGTATTGAGATTGTCAGCAGGGAAACGTGAAATAAGAACATCAGCTTCCAGAGATCGAGATGTGAGCTCAGGCACGTACAGCTTTCATCTTCCGCATTCGCTTCAAAAGGGAGACCATTTTAGCGGCTTCTAGAAGGCTCCGGCAGCATAAAAGCTCTGCCGGATACCGAATTAACTGGATAGACAAACAATTCTTTTCAATGCCTGAGCGATTGCCCAACACCGTAGCACTCACTCCTCGTCCAGCTGCTCTTCAACGTTCAATCGCATCGGAATTTTTGACGATCGGATAAATGATGTTCCAAGGAGCGTCTTCCAAAGTGCGCTAGCATTCATTGGGTTTAGCTCAAGGCCCAAGTGAGTCGAAATGCTTACTTAAACCTCTAGATTTTGAATGCGGTGGCTTCGGTATCTGCACCCCGCCGTCGCAACGAGAAGCATCCTGCGACATTGCAGTCGGTTTTTCACCGAAATTAAGCATATTTATTCAGTGGTCATGTCGAATGCTGCTGCCGCGGCCGCGGCTGCGCTGGACCCCAGCAACAGCACAAAAAACACCTTTAAACTTGAAAACGTGCGCTGTGAAGATCCCTGCTGGTTCCCCCGCCTTCTGCTAATTCTACTTATTAGACCGAGAAACGCGATACGCTGATTGCTATCGAGAAAAAGTATCAGGCGCAATGGAAGGAAAAAAGAGTATTCGAGGTCAATGCCCCCTCGCTATCCGAAATCCCTCCCGGCTCGATGTCCCCCAACGAGCTTCGGACGAAACATCCAAAATTCTTTGGCACAATGGCGTTTCCATACATGAATGGCTCTCCACATGCCGGGCACAGTTTCACTGCCAGTAAAGTCGAGTTCATGGCCGGCTTCGCTAGAATGGAAGGCAAACGCGCTCTATTTCCTCTCGGTTTCCACTGCACGGGCATGCCTATCAAGGCTTGTGCAGATAAACTGGTGGACGACATCAAGAAATTTGGTAAATATTTTGAAAATTATAATGAGGAGAATGAGGAGGTGGATGCCACCCCGGCTCCTACCACGGAGCAAATAAAAGAAGATCCCTCAAAGTTCTCCGGAAAAAAGAGCAAAGCTGCAAGCAAAACTGTGAAATTAAAGTACCAATTCCAGATTATGCTGGCTCAGGGTATACCTCTCGAAGAGATCCATAAATTCGCTGACCCTGACTATTGGTTACAATATTTCCCACCACTATGGATTCAGGATTTGGACAGCTTAGGAGCGAGAATTGATTGGCGAAGAGGATTCGTTACCACTGACGTTAACCCTTATTTTGATGCCTTTGTTCGCTGGCAGATGAATCGTCTGCATCAAATGGGCAAGATTATGTACGGTAGTAGATACACAGTCTACTCCCCCAAAGATGGACAACCATGTATGGACCACGACAGAACAGAAGGTGAAGGGGTTGGACCACAGGAGTATACTGCATTGAAACTAAGAGTTAAGGAATGGTCGCCAAAAGCGAAGGAACTTCTGCAGGGAAAGATTGAAGAGGATGCGAATGTGTACTTTGTGCCTGCTACGATGCGCCCGGAAACAATGTATGGCCAGACCTGCTGTTTCGTCGGACCATCGCTTAACTATGGAATTTTTAAGGTAAAAGATAAGGAGTACTATGTTGTGACGAAACGTGGAGCTTGGAACATGGCATTTCAGGGCACCTTTTTTGACAAGGACCACTTCCCACGAGACCAGAGAGAACTTCCTCTTGTTTGCGAAGCTTCTGGGTCTACTTTCGTCGGTACTTTGGTAAATGCCCCGTTGTCGGTTCATAAAGAAGGGGTAAGGATCCTACCGATGGAGACCGTTTCCGCCAGTAAGGGAACTGGCGTGGTAACTTCGGTCCCTTCAGACAGCCCTGATGACTTTGCGACGGTTTCGGATCTTGCCAAAAAGGCGGACTATTATGGCATTCAAAAAGAATGGGCGGAATTGGAGATCATTCCTATATTAGAGACGCCTAAATACGGAAACCTTACTGCTCCAGCATTGGTGAAGGAAATGAAGATCAATTCGCCGAAGGATGTCAACCAGCTTGCGAAGGCGAAAGAAGCGGCGTATAATGAGGGCTTTTACAAGGGAACAATGCTTGTGGGAGACTTCAAAGGCGAACCAGTTCAATCGGCGAAAGAAAAGGTCCGGGAGCAGCTTATCCAAAACGGCGATGCGTTCCCCTACGCTGATCCAATGGGCAAAGTTGTTAGTCGAAGCGGCGATGACTGTGTTGTTGCCTACCTTGGGCAGTGGTTTTTGAACTATGGTCCAAACGATCCGCAATGGCTTCGGGATACCCAAAATTATGTGGTTAACAGCCTCAATACCTACCTCCCTGAGACTCGTCACGGATTTGAGAAGAATCTCGAATGGCTTAACCGCTGGGCTTGTGCCAGGACTTACGGGCTGGGCTCTAAACTGCCTTGGGACCCCCAATTCCTTGTGGAAAGTTTAAGTGACAGCACCATTTACCAGGCATATTATGCTATCTCACATCTCCTCCAGAATGATAGATATGGCACCGCACCAGGTTCCCTTGGCATCAAACCGGAACAATTGACAGATGATGCTTGGGATTACATTTTCAGCCGACGGGAATTGGACGACGATCTCGTCCAAAGCACCGGGATAAGTAAAGAAGCCTTCCTGACAATGCGAAGAGAATTTGAGTATTGGTATCCTTTGGATGTCCGGGTTTCAGGCAAAGATCTCATTCAGAACCACCTTACGTTTTGGCTTTATGTCCACATCGCGTTGTTCCCTGAGGAGTACTGGCCACGGTCCGTTAGAGCCAACGGCCATTTACTTCTTAACGGCGACAAGATGAGCAAGAGCAGTGGTAATTTCTTGACGTTAAGAGATGCAGTGGAAAAGTACGGCGCCGATGCAAACTCGTATTGCTTTTGCTGATGCCGGTGATGGTATCGAAGATGCCAATTTCGAAGAAACTGTCGCGAACAGCCAATATTCTTCGCCTGCATACTCTCAAAGAGTGGATTGAGGGAAGTTGTTAAAGATACGAGTCTGCGTACAGGGGCCAGCGGAAGAATTTCGTCGATAAATTATTTGACACGAGATGAACGTGCTGGTTTCCGAGGTAAGGCAACATTATTCCGAGTAGTAGCCTCGACAAAGGATCCTTTCGTCTTGCTATCTGACAGTATTGAAGCACAAATTTCAAATTAGCACTCAAGTCGGCGCTCTATGAATTCACTAGTGCCAGGGATTTCTATCGCGAGCAAGCAACAGCAGCTGGCGTTGGAATGCATCGTGATGTTATTCTTCGGTATATTGAGCTGCAGGCACTGCTCATAACCCCTCTTGCTCCTCACTGGGCAGAGTATGTCTGGCTCGAAGTACTCAAGAAGGTATACTGCTTCCCTATTATATCTCACTGCACTTAGCGACGTCACTGACTCTGAAACACATAGCCTGAAACTATCCAATATGCACTGTTCCCCAAGGCCCCGGAGCCAGAACCCGCTCTTTCGGCCGCCCTGGTTTACATACGCTCAACCTCCTCCAGTATCACTTCGTCCGAGGCTGCATTCTCCAAAAAGATATCGAAGGGCAAGGCGGTTACTTTTGACCCTCGAAAGCCTAAGAAGCTTACCATTTTTGTTGCCAAAAAATTCCCGACATGGCAAGAAAAATATATTGACCTTGTCCGCGAAGCTTTTGATTCCCTCAGCATATCAATCAACGACAAAGAACTCAATACTAAAGTCGGCAAATTAGGTGAAATGAAGAAAGCTATGCCGTTCGTTCAAGGGCTTAAGAGGCGCTTGATCCAGGGTAAAGAGAGTCCTGAAAAAGTCTTTAACCGCCAGCTTGCGTTCGATGAAGCCGAAGTCTTGCGAAATATGTTAGGGATTGTGAGAAAGACTACCGGGTGCCAGGTTGTCGAAGTCATCTTGGTGGAAGAGGGCGGAAAGGCAGGTACTACGCTTGAGGGAGAGCAGCGAGATGGCCTCCCTCCTGTGGCTGAGAGTGCACTTCCTGGTCAGCCAAGCTTCCACTTTGAAAATATCCCTGAGCCGGCGGCAGCTGCATAGGCTTAAACGTCCTCAGTGCGGAAATAGAGGCAATATGATCTCGACTCTTTAAGTTCATTGAAAGGGGAAACGAAAATAGAAGAGATATCTTCAAGATAGATCATCTATGCTCATGGAGAGGAAACTAGATATAGGAGATATATGAAAATTGACAATACGTGTTTCCAACCCATACGTATTGTGCAGCGCATTTCAGATAACAAAAAGGTATAAGATCGTTCATAACTCCACCCATGCAAGGGATATCGTACAGATTATATATGCCACCGATAAACCGGTAGTCCACAAACATCGCGCTCAAAGCTTGACAGCTAGTCTCTTCAGCCATATCGATTGGGGCGCCCTGCCTTCTTCTTGTCTCTCCTCCTCTTCTCCTGTAAAAGCTTATAAGCAGACATTGGCCTCCTGCTTCCGACACACTTGCCTTCCGGGCTGAAAACCTCGACCCTTGGAAACCCAGGTTCCTCATCACCTTCAGTTTTCGTTCGAACTTGGGTAATGAGTTCAACCCATCCGCACCCTTCAATAAGGATGTCAATTGACATAATCTTGAAAAGCGTTGGCAGGCTATCCTTCTTAGAGCGTGTCGCTTGTGAGAGGCGCGTTCCGTACTTCTCTGTCACATCATATTCGAGTTCGAATACTCCCGCTGAGGCGACAGATTGTGCTGCCCCTTCCGTGCCAATTTCTGGATAGGGAGTCGTACGCAAGCCTGAAAGCATCTCAATTGCTTTTTCGGTGGACGTAACGTGCGGTTTCAATGACACGAATGGGGAGACCAGCAGGACATCTTGGAAATCGACGGGCGTGATCCGAACGAGACCGCCTAGAAGAATGGACTGGCCAGGTTTTACTGTAAGGCGTTCAGGTTTAGGTCGTTTTGTCATAATCAATTGGAGTTTATGCTCATCCTTAACGTATTCTTCTAGTCCGCCCCGGTAGAGTCCAGGTAAATCTATGATTTCACCCTTGCGCTGCCCGAACGGGATTCGAATTGGTGACGCCGTAGTTCCCGGCAGTGCGGAGACTATTGGTAAGACTGGGAAATCGTATTGCTCCTGTACTGGAGGCAATAGCCCAGTATTGGCCATATTCAACGAGTCAGATATATGGCTGGAATTTGTCTTCTCTCTCAGCTGACGAGCAGAGTAAGGAGACTTCGGAAAAACCGACGATATCAGACTGCTTTTTCCTACGTTAGCTTTCCCGACCATCCATACCCCCCCGCCTTGTTTCCAGATATTTTCCTTGACTTCTTTTGTCCACCAGCCCCTATAAGAGCTCACCATATGCACGTTCCCTAATCTTATTCTGTCGCCATTTCGGTGAAATTCATCTCGCAAGACTTGAGTCATATAGTCCATCATACCATCGACATGTTCCTTCAAGCCGCCCAGGAGATCCGCTCGTGTAATTACGAAGTGGAGGTTCGCCATTTTCCTTCCGCCTGAGAATTTGACTGTTTTTGACCTGCGATTCGGTGATCGTTGATGTTGAACGTCAAGATCTCGGTAAATATTTCGAACTAAGGAGAGAGGGAAATCGGCTGCATCAAGAATATGGTACACATGGTTGTCATCCCAGGGTGATTCTTCCATAATATCTCGTATGAAGGATATGGGAGGGTAAGGGATAGGTTGAGCGTGGTGATGGTTAACGAGGTTATGACATCTATCACAGAAAGGCAAACTCGGTGCGCTTGGTTGTGACTCTACTGTGAAGGCTTTTGTTAGCCGCTGACAGGCGAAAAAGGGACGAAAAGCTCAATAACGGCTGTGAAATACCTTTAGGCTCTGGTACTTGTAATTCTTCACCGGCGGCAGCGTTTACTGATTCCACTTTAGGATCGATCTCGAAGATGTCTGAAACTGATCCAGTTTCCATATCTTTGGCACTTCGTTCTTGCGAGGCCCCACGAAGGTACGCTTTAACGGCATTCCTGGATAATGTATAATAGCCAGCCTGGTCATTATCCACCCACTGTGTCAGTGCACCGCAGCCTGGACAGGAATTCGGGAGTAGAGCCGGGTCATATTTAGGAGGCTTAGTAGTCGCCTCCGTCAGGGTGTTTAAAAAGGGCCTGCCGGCGCAAAAACTCCTCGATTCTATGGTTTTGAGACGGCATTTCGAAACGGAAGGGAGAGGGCTGGGCAAACGACAACGACTGCAATTCCAGAATACTGCTTTCGAAAAGCATCGGAAGGGCCTCTGAAACGCATATCTGCCGTGTGGAGCAATCATGACGGCGATCGCTTCGGCGTCCAGCTGTCGTCAAGCTGATGAAGCTGGAGCTCGAAATTTATCAAGGTGCTCAGATGGCCTATTTCGTCAACCGTTGCCACCGATAAGCTCTTATCATTTTCGGGCGGCGTCTTAGCCCAAGTATGCATAACTCTTTTGGAACAGCACTACGGAGTACATAGAGGATGAAAAAGGTTCAACTCATTCAAATTGTCAGTTGAACGAATGCTATACCGCAATTATGACTGTTAATACATAAAATTTCGCTTCTGGCAGCCCTCAGATTGTAGCAAAAGCCTAACCATGCACCCGAAACGCCAAACATCGCAACGGAAGCCAACTTTAGGCCTTAGCCTTTCCCTTCCCTTTAACGTCGGCGACACTTTCGTTGTCATCATCCTCATCCTCATCACTCAAAAATTCATCGTCATCATCATCGAACCCGAAATATCGCCTGGCTGGAGCCGACTCATTTGAGCTACCACTAGGGGTTTCCAATGGACGCGCAGATTGCTCGATATCTTCCGACTCACTCCCATCGCTTGGGCTTGCAGAGCCTCCACTTCCACTACTTTCACCCGGACTCGTGCTCGACTCGCCGAGTAAACCGCCAGCGAGCTTATCCCTCCAAATACCCTCCTTCATGGCACGGAAAACCGCCTCACGTGCCTTTTCACCCGCTTCCTCTTTATCTTCAATCGATTCACCGTCGACTTTCCCTTTTCCATCACCGTTTCTGATCTCTGCTTCTCGTTTCTCGGCAAGCTCGACAGCCAACTCCCATCTTTTTCTACGAGCTTCCTTTTCCTTCCTATCCATTTCTGGCTTCAGCGCAAGATACTCCGCCAAAGCTTTAGCTTCAGTCACTGTCCGCAAGCGCCGTCCATCCAAGTTGCGATTTGACCCATTGTTTTCTCCTTGAGTTCCCTTCCGGCGACTGGACATGCGGCCTCCAGCAGCACGGAGCTGGGAGCCAAAACCACCTTTACCACCATAGATGCGAAGACCGAGGCGGAGGGGAAGAAATGTAGAGTGAAGATCGGTAGGAGAAGCGAGAAAATTGGCGAGTTTATCAGAGGAGTAAGGTATCAATTCGGCATTGCTAAGAGTAGTCAAAACGAGACTAGGCGATTGGAGTGGGAAGGATATTGGAAGATGTGAGTTGATTTTCTCGGTCAGGTCGGCAACCGTCGACGTTGATGGAAGTGGAATGCATAGCGTCGAAGGAAATGAGAGGCCAGGAAACGCGGAGAGGAGGACGTTTATGGTTGACGGCGGCATGACAGCGGCGGTTGAGATACTCTTTTGTTGGTGGGGCGTATCGAGTACGGTGGTGAAGCGGAGCAATATTCAGAAAAACGCAACGGCTGATCTCGATGATACTGTTGTATCTAGAACGAACTGCTGGCAAGGAATATGGTAAGATTCAATCCACCGATGAGGGAAAAGCGATGCTCGACTCCGAAGCTGACATCAACGACCCTGCTGAGTCATGGCTGGTTAGCGCCGCCAATACACTAGCTATATGTCACGTGGAACGCAGCTCAATGGGGAGATAGGGCAAAGGGCTAGCGAACCCTAGCACATTTGATATGAACATCAAAAAGTTGCTTCAAGATCATCTTCCCTCAACCACTGCAGATACCTCGAGTCGCATTGTCAAAGCGATTCCCCGAAGTACGCAAGGAACTCGCGACAATGTACGTCATAAACCCTGTTCCCTATTAATATTTTACGAACGATGGCTAATTCGTGTTCTCTAGGCTTATCCCAAAGGCTGACCGTAAGAAGATCCACGAGTACCTCTTCCGCGGTATGTGATGCCCAGATCTATATCTTTTACACATTCAACGAATGTACACTAAGACGCCATTTTCTAGAGGGTGTACTCGTGGCCAAGAAGGATTACAACCTTCCCAAACACTCCGACATCGACACCAAGAACCTCTACGTAAGTCGCTGAATCAACAACACCAAAATTGGACGTACTGCTCACATCCAACGTTCCAGGTCATCAAGGCTTGCCAGTCTCTCACTTCGCGCGGCTACGTCAAGACCCGTTTCTCCTGGCAATACTACTACTACACCCTGACCCCCGAAGGCCTCGAGTACCTCCGCGAATGGCTCCACTTGCCCGCTGAAATCGTGCCCGCCACTCACATCAAGCAGCAGCGCTCCCACGCTCCTCCTCGTGGCATGATGGGCGGTGAAGGTGAACGCGAGCGACGCCCTGGTGGCCGCGGTGAACGTGGTGACCGTGGCGACCGTCCTCCTCGTGGTGATGGTGGCTACAGACGCCGTGAGCAGGGTGAGGGTAAGGAGGGTGGCGCCCCTGGTGACTTTGCTCCTTCTTTCCGTGGTTTCGGTCGCGGACGCGGTGCTCCACCATCCTAGACGGTCTGTTCTTGGGAACTTGTGAATGGAGTGGACGGTCATAGTCGTCTTTTGGGTCAATGGCTCGTCTAGCTCATGGACTCGATGGCCAGTGGTTGTTCATAGCCTGAAATAAGAAATAACGGCAGATGGTCCAATTCAATTGGTGAAGATCGGATTTATTTGTATGGTAGGCCTTTCTTGCCATGTTAGTGAGCCGCCTCTTTTATGATGACGGCTCTACGACAAATTTCAACGAAACATCAATATGAATTTAAAGAAGTATTCTTTCTTCATTTCTTCGTGTCAACGGTTACATCGCCTCATTTACTGAATCTCTTCCGATCATATCTCACAACTGCTTGCAAAATGACAGAGGCACCATCCACGCACTCTTCGGGTGTGGAAAACTCCTCTGGGTGGTGACTTACTCCATCTTTACAAGGCACAAACACCATGCTAGTTGGCACCCGTTTGGACGTGTAAACGCTGTCATGTCCCGCTCCGCTACGAATGGTGCGGTACATTGACTCCGGATTCGGTGAATCCGAAACAACCGCCATGGTTGCTTCAGTCACACACTCGATGCAGTCGGGATGGAACGTAATAGCCGGGCTGTCGACGTCCAGCTGCCATTCAACACGGCAGGGCTTCCCAATGTTTTTGCCCTCCTCCGCAGCAATGAGCTCAAATTCCTTTCGCAGTTCCTTGTCCAGTACGTTTACGTTTTCGGACTCTGGCCCACGGATATCAAGACTGAAACTGACAAATCCGGGGACGGTATTCACACTACCAGGCTTGACGTCGACTATGCCAACACTCGCAAGGCACCCTAGCTTCTGCGCGATTTCTCGAGCACGAATCATCATTTTCGCCGAGGCGTACAAGGCATCCGCGCGGTGTTCAAAAGAGGTTGATCCGGTGTGGCAATCCCGACCTGTGACATTGATACGGTACCACCGGGATGCCTGCACCGCTGTCACTACACCAACTCGTTGGCCGGCGTTGATCAAATGGGGTCCCTGTTCAATGTGTAACTCAAAATGGGCAGCCATCGGCATGGCAGTGTAAGAACATGGAACGGTGCCTAAATAATTGATCTTCTCCAGAGCAGATTTCATGGAATCAGGAGAGGATGCAGCAGAGGGAAGGGAAGCTACGGTAGGAACTTCGAGGAGGCTGTGGGCAGTGGCTAGAGGGATGCACTCTGCCCAAACCCCCGAGGAGACCATGCTTTTTGGAAACCGGGCTCCCTCCTCGCTATCAAAATTGATCAGCACCGTGCCATCTGACCCTTCCAACCACCGTAAGATGATACTAACTTGGTCCAGTTGACAACTCCGACGCCACCTTCAGTTTCAATCCCTTTCTCTTCAAGAACCTTCAGCATCTCAATACCTGCACAGACGCCTAGGATCCCGTCATATCTGCCTCCGGTGGGCTGGGTATCTAAATGGCTTCCGACAAACGTCGGCGGGACATCCCCTCTGCGACCCGGGCGAACGGCAAACATATTTCCCATGGCATCGACAGTCACCTTGCAGCCAAGTGCCTCTGTCGTCTTTTTAAACCAATCGCGGACCTGCTTATCCTCTTGGGACAATGCGAGCCGAGCCATTCCTGTATCGGTCGCATTGCTAAACCAAACAAGAACAATTAGCGAAGGTCAACTCCGTGCACGTGGGGAGAGGTCAGGCTCTCAGTATAACAGCTCAAGCTGCCGGGACGCAGGTTGTCTTAGCAGAACGGTAAAGGGCGTAGCTACAAAGAAATCACCTACTTTCCCCATCTTACGCCAGTCCCCCATTGACAGCTGTGATGGATATACTCCTGTAATCGATCCTTATTTGCCCGTAATGCCGCGATGTTAGCCTCAGAGAGCTCCGTAGTCAACATTGCTCTTGCGTTTGTTTGAGAAAACAACCGGGTTGAGGTAGGTACTGGTTTTTGGCCGTAACTGGGAACAAACTGCTTGACGGCACACAGAAAGAGAGGATTCTGCGAAAAGCAAAGACGATTCGAGAATGTGAATATCATCCTGTCCCGGCATGCGGGGAAGCGGCAACCTTTAAGCCCTCCGCTGGGTACTCCGAGACGCCGAAAGGCAGCGTTTCCACTGCCAATCGAAGCTAAACAGAGTCAGACATTGGATACGATTGGGCCCGTTGGGCGAGACCGTTCCCCAGAGGAAACAGGAGTTCGGAGCAAGACCCAACTCGGCGTGGAAACTGTGAGAAAGGGCGCCGTCACTGCCGAAGGCGTTAAGTACTGCCGAACAGGTGGGATGAGATCTGCCTTGGGGGAAAAGGGGATGAGATTGAGGGGTAGAGTCTGTTATGTGCACGGCTGGGAGGCTGTTTCCACGGCACACTTCTCGCCCCTCTTCCCCCAACGATCCCTGTTTCGCCGCCTGGATTATCGAGAGATTGGGGGTGAAATGATTGAAATGATATAGAACCATTGCATACCATGTGCTACATAAAAAAGATATTGAGGTTTAACGAAAAAAATGCATAAAATTATCGACTGACTGTAGTCGAGAGTTCTTCCAAAGATTGAGGAGCGGAGTATTTTGGGCAAAGCCACGGCCATCTCTGGTAAAAGGCAAGAAATGGATTCTGAGCTAGCTTGTCCCACTCCTACTATTTTGGCCCTGAATTGATATATAAGGCTCTTAACTCGCCACCCTAAAGCCGCGGGTTCGAATCTGCGACAGACCAGCCCTTCATTTGTTCCCAACACTACACCCACGGAACGAACTTCAGCTCATCCCCACTTCTCCATTCCCTCAGCTATCCGGCAGTTGATTGTTGATAACCCCTCAATCATAGAAGAAGTCGTCTTACTCCGTTCAATTTTACCAACCCTCGAGGACCAGACACCATGGCCAGCACCGCCGCAGCATGTATTTTCTGCAAAATCATCAAGGGTGAGTTTCAACAACGGGCTTTGTACCCAAGGTCCCCATTGACATCATACTCCCGCGGGCAGCCATTTTGCCTCAAGCATCATTGTTTATGAATCAATTGCTGACGGTTCGACAGGTGAAATCCCTTGCTTCAAGCTCTTTGAAAGCGAAAGGGTGTTGGCCTTTCTCGACATCCAGCCTTTGAGCCGTGGACATGCGGTTCGTCTACATCAATTCCCCCATGATGTCGTGGCGTCCACGGCCATTCCTAAGGATGCGTTCATTAACCTCCTTCTCTTTTTCTCTCTAATAGCTCGTCATCCCGAAGTATCATGGTGTTAGGCTCACTGATATCCCCGATCAAGACCTCCATGAACTCTTGGTATGTTACGAAAGAGCACTATGAACTGGCAAATACCCGCAGCAAGCTGGCAGCCATATTGATATGAATTATAGCCTGTAGCCAAGAAAATCGCTCTCGCTGCCGGTGTTTCAGACTTCAATATCCTCCAAAACAATGGCAAGATTGCCCATCAGGTCGTTGAGCACGTAAGTTCTCAGGCCCCCCTCTGTCAGACCCCGCTCACTGCTCTGCTAAACCTTCCTTTTGCAATAGGTCCATGTCCACATGGTAAGAGAAACACGCTTTCCGCTCTACAGACCCTTGGCGTCACAGCACCTGAACTAACCATGACTATCAGATTCCCAAACCCAACGAAACCGAAGGTCTTACCATAGGTTGGCCAGCAAAAGCCACTGATATGGACTCTCTGACAGCGCTTTACAATGAGCTCAAGTCGAAGATGTAAACTGAACATGTTCAAAGAATGATTTCGTCTCAATGCAAGAACCATGGATCATTGGTCGCTTGCCACCATTGTCTATCATCACTTCTATGGATAGAAGTATATAAAATCAATATAAGTTCAGCTATGCACAAAGGAAACCAGATATGCGGATGAAGAATCGCAAAAATGTATCAACACCCCGCCCAAAGCCTGAAAAATGCAGCACCCAGAGGAGCCAAGGACAGAAACGAAAGTTATGTTTAAATATACATCTGCCTGTCCCACCAGTTCTAACCATGCAGTCAAAGGGGAATCAATCAGTACCGACCGTTTTCCACCGTCGTAAGAGAATTTAAAAAAGGAAACCAAACATGTCACATTATCAGAATGTGAAAGTGAAAAGCAGAGAGTACGTTCAATCCATCAATCCAAAGTCAGTATTCGACAATGACTTTGTGCACATAAATCCACCAGCCAGCTTCCATATGTATATTTACTGTAAGAATCAACGCTGGCCATATTGAACAACCAGAAAGAGGGCCTTGAAGAGAACGGGATATCTTTGCACTAGTCCACTTCATCACCATTGCCATCGACAAGGATTGGCCTTGTGGTAATAACTTCGAAGCTGGGCTTCTCAGATACATGCGTTCTGACACTGGTTGTCCGCGATGGAAGACCCTTCTTCGGGGTTTGGTTGGATTGAATGGCGCCGAGGCGATCATATAAGGATCGTGCGCGAATGAACGGGTCAAGACGCCAATAGTTGTCGTACAATCGTGAAGCCAAATCGTCTCGCTTTTTCATAAGCTCGGAGTTTTGTGCAACAAAAGAGCTGCGGTCTGTTGTTATCCAGGCCTTTGTGGCAAGTTGGAACTCCGAAGCGTATTGGAACCTTTTGCTAATCGTTTCATTCATTGACTTTACGTCTTTCTGTTTAGTGTTTTCGCCTGTCTCTGGTTCAATGTATTTGTAGGCATATGGATTATCGCCGCCAATCTCCTTGATAAGCTGGCTCCGTGAAATATAAGTCTCGAGCTCTTCAGACGTCTTCGTAAAATGGACTTTGGAGGCGACAACCGGGTCTAACCAGCCTTTGATGATGGTCCAAATACCTTTAGGGCAAGTTAGCATTTAGGGGATAGAAATTGCCGCAAGGTGCCATACCCGAAAATACCCAAGGAGCTTTATGGACAAGAATTACACCGAGACTCTCGGGGTAATTGGCCTCAAAACACTTGATCATGAATTTCACAGGCGCATAATCCTATAGACAAATGAGCATACAGCGATAAAAAGCTACCATGAAAATGGGCAAACGTACCATATTTGCAAGCGAGAAGTCGGTCATATCAAAAACAAGCGCCTGTACTCGATTAGTCCCGATATCAAGGAGCGTAAAGGCGATTGAGGACTCACAGCGGTTTCTACAGGCTTCTCCAACAGCAGCCTTGACGTCTCAATTAGATATACCGTGTACCTCTCCAGGGCCGACTCGCAGTGCGTGCCAGCTTTATGGAGCCTCACTCTGATATAGCAGACGGGTCGGCCAGCTTTGTCCTTGCCATGAATGAAACTCTCGCCTAATCGGAGTAAGCTCAGGAAATCCTCAGATTCCTTTTTGACCGCTGGGTCGCTGCTCTTCAGGCCTTCAAGAGCACCAGCGTCTCCAGAGCTCATAATCTTGTCGTCGAGATGGATGGCATTTGCCCTCCAATGTAGCGCAGATATCAACATAATCACGGCGCGATTGACGTCCCATTTCCGAGCACGAAGGAAGCGGAGCAGCAACGAATCCGGATGGTCTTGCTTCACCATACTCCAAAACGCAATTCTCAACTCCTCTGGAGAGTGAGTAGCCAATGCGTTTTGGAACTCTTTAGCCTGGCCATACTTGTCATCGGGGTCGGTGTTTTTCGTTCCATTCTCCTCAGCGCGAGGTGACTCGCTACCATCCTTCTTACTAAAGAGTCCTAGTTTGCGCTTCGGCTTCTTCGAGTCCGAGGCCGGAGTCTCGGCCGTTGTGGTAGGCGAAATTGGTTGCTTCTCTTCTGCTGCGTCCGCTACGCCAAATAATTTGAATAGAGCAGTCCAAAACTCCTTGAGCTTCGCTTCCTCCTCCGATGTGAGGTTACCGACGTAACCGGTAGGCAGAGGCGTTGACATGGTTTGCAGGATTTCGGGGTCTCGCAACTGATCCGGGAAAGAAAGGGTAGGTGGGTAGACTATCTCGGGATCTTCAGTAGGCTCTAAGCTCGTGTATAGACTATGCAATGCTAGTCCGCCGCATACAAGCACGAGAGAAATCGAAAAAGTCCAGATAGACGATGCTGTTGTGGTGGTAAAGGCGGAAGGGCGAGTGATGTGTGGATCGATGGCAATTCGAGGGACGGTAAGGCAGAGATCCGCGTTAAAGGATTGCTGATCACGGCGACAAAACCGGAATTGGGCACGCCGTTGGGCAACCCGGGATGCTGCCTTGGATTCGTGATGCCGGAGGGCTGGTAGCACGCGGCTGATGAAACGAGAACTCATTCACGAAGCAAACAAAAATAGAAAAAACGAGCGGCTACCACGAGATTGAACAGCAATCCATGGAAAGTGTTGTTGCTATTTCTGTTGGGAAACGAGGGACAATTTCGAGGGTTGTTGGCGAGGAGGGAGCGAGTGCGCGGACGAAGGCGAAGGAGGGGAAGTCGGTTGCACTGCCGCAACGTGAGGACGCAATCGTGGGCGCTCGAGACCGTGGGATGTGGGAGAAAACCCTGCAGGAATTGGATAGTTTTTGTTCCTGGAACCGTTAACCAAAATGCCGTAGTCGAGATTCTCTCTCACTGACTGCAAGTTTGCCATCGAGCTTCCAACTTGTTTCGTTTGCCGCTGACAAACTTTCCCCAGACATCCGGCAACACCGCCCTGCACGTGATCCCGCCCTGGGCAAGCAAACCGTCTTTGGAGCTTCACGGCGACGATAACAAGGTCAAGCACTCGACTCTGTGGTGTTGTATTTGCGTCCTTTCAGCGAAGTGGCCATGGATCCAAACAGCCACCGTTCGACGTCGCGTCCGCTTCCTTCCTCCCGCCCAACTACCCCCCTCCGTCCAAGCTCAAGATCCTCCCTCCGTGAACACAACTTTGGAGGCAACCCGACCGGGACGCACACACTGCAGCCAGCTATCAATTCGCTGGAGCCGCAATTTGCAGAATTCTCCGATTCAATGGCCGACCTTGAAGCCAATTTCATGCATCTCCAACTTTTACACGAGAGTCTGTCACGGTTCAGCGAAAGCTTTGCGAGTTTCTTATACGGATTAAATATGAATGCATTCTGTGTGGATTTTCCAGAGGTTGGTCTACGATCTCGAGCTAACGTGGGCATCGCGGAGTGGTTGCTAACGGTTGTTTTAGGCCCCAGTTCCAGATTCGTTTCGTCGGGCAAAGGAAGCAGGTTAGTTGCTACAATTGCGCATAACAAGAGTATATCGAGCTTACTTTCTCTTAGCCGAGTCCGTCGCCGTACAAGAGCCACCTCAGCCCGAAGTAGACACTGAGACGACTTTCTTGTGGGTTTTTGCTGCAGAATGCCTTGCCAACATTCAAGACTAATCGACCCTACTCCGTGCCAGGACAACCGATACCTCTTTCGTTGACAATCCACCGACCTCCTTGAAGAAACCCTCAAAATTTTCTACGACAGCCCCCTCAATGGCCTCGACAACTTCGACAGCAACAGGTGCAAGTCGGGGAAGTACAAGGGGTCGATATTCAACCAGAGGAGCCTCTGGCCGTCAACGTTCTAGTGGCATATCAAGACCCCGCGGGAGAGGAATTCGATGACAATAAGGCCTCTACCTTAACTAACCCCAATTCTCTTTAGCTTCACAGAAAAACGCCTGGAAGCTCGAATTTCAAAATACTGTTACACCTCGGCCGCTATCAGGCAAAGTAAGACCCGGAAGAAGCAGTTTGCTTTGTGAACAGTAGCGGTACCAATCCGTGGTACGGCAGCCTAATAACCCGGCTCTCGGACGTCTAGAATGGTGGGTGACATGTGGAATAACGGCTTCAAAAAAGCTATTTTCAAGTCCCGAGCCCAAAATCCTTGATTAGACTCCAGACTCATCAGATAACCCGACGATGGAAGCGATGTCAAAACCTAGAAAGATTTCATGGGCTTGTACGGTGCACATCTATTATGCTTGGGTGGGCGATGGGTATTTCATCCAGCAGGATGTCGCGATTTATGCTATGATCCAGCTTTGGATTTAAAGAACGCGAGTAGCTACATGGAAAGATCAAACACAATGTAAGAAGTCAAGACATCAGACATTCTTCTTCTGAACAATTGCGACAAACTAGAACCGACGCCATTCTCCATATGCCCATATTGATACATTGAACGCTATTCGACACGTCAACTTCATCAATCAAGAACCTGAAAGGGAGCGTAAAGTGTAAAACAGCAAATATGCGTCGGCATCCAGCACCTCCGCATCAGTGGCCCAGGTAACTCGGTCATCGTTGAATTTAAACCACTATTCAGTCCATCAGTGTCACGCCATACAATGTAAACAGGGTGGCGCAAATATGCTTAGGAGCAAAAGAAAGAATTAATCCACGTACCTGCTCTCCCTGCCTGCAATAGGCAAGATAATGACCCGAATCAATATCGCCAATGTGGACCACCACGCTTAATAAATCATAAGTATACTTAAAGATATTCTTCGAATTGGCACTCGTGGTGTATGGCGCCATGTTTATGGAGAACGGGAAAGCAACTTTGGTATCGACTTTTTCGGAGACGGACCGATGTCGTTCGAACCTCTGGGTTCGAGGATCAGCATATGCGGTTCACTTGCTGGGGATGAAGTACAGACCTTAAGCTGCATACATAATATCACAGGTAGTTTGCGTAGCCTAAGTTGCTTTGTCGCCCCTTGCGGCGTTCCGCACCAACTGCAGTTATAATCGCTAGCAGGTAATTCCTCGGGAGCTGTATAGCTATCCAAGCAGCCGTTAAGGCTTGGTGTGCTTTCTGAGTCGCCCGGAATCCAGTGCAATGCTTTCTTCTTTCTCTGGACCTGAAAAGCAAGACTCAAATCCATGATTGGATCTTCGGTGCGATTAGTGTTTCTGCAACGGTGGCAGGTCACGCTGCTCTGGAGCTTCCCAAAGAAAGCCTTGTGGAAAAAACATCGGCATTTCTGCTCGTATCCGTCAACGTGGTCTTCGGCTGTGGCATGGAGTTTGTTGACGAGAAATTGATAGAATTCGTGGGCATCTTGCTGCTGGTATCCAGCAAGGTCCTGTAGAGGAATCAGCTGATATATTGCAAGTTCTTCAGGAACGCCAACATACAGGCGATGATAGCCATGAACTTAACAGAAAGTTGAGGACGCCGAAACCCTCCTCCTTCTCTTCATGAAATTCCGCAAAAACCTCTGCGACCTGACACACGAAACAGTTTGATTCTGAGCAATCGTACATGCGATGACGATGACCAAGAAAATACGTTGTCAGTAACGGCTCATGGAACAAAGTCTGCAGAATGACATTCATGTAGCATGTCTGGCCGAGGTTATACAAGCCTCTCATGCCATCCTTTCCGCAAATCCGTTTGTTGCTGTTCGATGCCAAATATGATGCTTCCTCTGCATCGGCGTAGGCTAGAGCCTCACTCATCGAGCGCTTTTTCGAAAGTAAATCCTTGCGCTGTAAGTCCTTAGACGTATCACGCAAAACTCTATCAACCTCAGTGTCGTATATAAAATCTTCGCAACTTTGACACCATATTGACCCGCTTCGGCAATCAGCAACTTTTTGACAGTTTGTTAGCGCAGATAATATTTTCAGTTAGTAGAGCCGTTCTCACAGAATACATGTCCAGTCTTCTCTTTATGGGCTGCCCGGCTACCCCGTGGCCAGCTAAGGGGACAATGAAGGCACTGATATAACGGCTTTAAGGATATTTTTCGTGTAGAATGTGGCTGCGATGGCTCATGAAATGCCTGAGGCTGCAGCGACTGAGATTCCCGGACAAGTAGCAAAGAGTCGTAAAACTGGCCAGCAGTTTTAGAGTGGGTCTCAAGTATTTCCTTGAGATGTTCTGTTCCGGTCAGAGCCTCCTCATGGAACAGGTCGTGAGAGGAACCATACCGCAGCCGAATTCCGGCGCCAGGTCACTAGTAGTTTCCGCCATGGTCGCAAGGAAGGGAATTTAAAAAAAAGAACGGAATCACCGCTTAGAAAGAAAGGAATATTGAAATGTCAAATGATATCGTAAGGGAAGAGTAGGATGTTCATAAGACGGAGTTGGTCAGGAGGAGCGCTTCAGGCTGCCAGCCCTGCCTCAAAATAGGGGTTTAAAATAAATCGTTAAATGAGTCTACCAGCAAAAAGGATATCAAAGCAATCTTCAAGAACAGTCTGCTGTCAAAACCAAAGGCTTCATCGACGGAAGGGTTAAATAATGAAGGTCAAGCGATTTAAGGTACCGGCCATTGACCTATTTAACTACCAAGGAACCAAACAAAGTCAAAGCTGAACCCCAGGCGGCAGATTGAAAAATTTTTCTCTCCTTAACACTTCTTGTGTATACATGAATCGCAAAAGATGGCATTCAGGCCTCCTTTCATGAATAGCCCCCAGTAGGAAGGGTCCTCGGGAGCGAAATTCGATATCACGTGACGCATGAGGCGAATGCGAACCGCCTGAAATGGACACCTGGTTGACATTCGACATGAATCCTCTTAGCTGATGATTCTGCAGTAGAAAAGTCAACATGGTATGAGGTATCATTATCTCATTTAGCATGCTAAACAGAAATGGCCTTAAAAATTTCTTGAGGCCACTAAAATCACCTGTTTCATCCAATACCTATTGTGTTATTCTATAACCAACTACTGGAGAGGGGGTGAATAAGTACTATATAGAAAACAACTAAGCTTTGTGATAGCTATCATTCAATGACCCACAATTCCGATTTGTTTAATAATTCCATGAGGCATATGGCCAAAGGCTCTGGTATGAGCGATCTTCCATATATCTGACGTGGGACCTTGTGATAAGAATCAAGCCTCAGGATGTTTAATTCTAGCCCAGCCGCCTTGCACATTTTGTTACTTGGACCAGTCCATGCTACAGATTCCTCTAGCTTTTCAATGACGCGCAGAACGTCATTAATTATCAAATGCAAGCTGCCACCATAATAGTAGGTACGAAATTTCAAATGGGAACGGGAGATTTGCCACCTGGAAACCCATTCGGCCATATGATGCTCGCGTGCAAGTTGAAGTGATGTGTGAAAACCATCATGAGGCCAAATATCATCATGGCAAACAGAAGGCCCTGCATAATTAGGGCTCGAAGCCTCACATTGAAGCCCGCCGGGGCTTTATATAATGTAAGCTTTGGAGAAGCCGTATTTGCTGTTGCGCCGATCGGTCAATAGGAAATGACATACTAAACAAGCCAGGACACACAGGGCCGACAAAGGCATGTAAGTATGTCAACAGGGGAAACGGGAGAAGCTATCTGGAAGCAATAGTAAATCGATCAGCATCAACATAACAGGCTCGTTGCCTCATCCCGGACGCATTCAGTGTTAGATCTCCGGTGTTACTGCCGCAACATGATAGGATATTGAGGGAAATGGCATCATGTATTCAGCAGCGGAAGCATGATCTAGAAAAGACAACCTGGTACGGGTGAAGCAACTGCGACAGTGACAATCTCTTGCACTGTCGATGTAAAGAAAAGCCAGGAAACTGGGAAGATAGTCAAGTAGAAGGCTGCATGTACAACACGCAACTCAACAAAGCCCCGTAGGGTGCCTGGCCTTATGGGATGCTTTGGCAAGCACATGGGAGATTTAGTCGGGGAGTAAATAGCGTAGAGACGTTCTTTGATTTTGCTCGGATCCTGCTCCTGAGGAAGGTCACCGGCTGGCGGTGAACCAAATTCATAGAAACCATCGAACATTGCATAAATATTCGACTTTGCTCTGCTGAAGTCCCGGAGGGGTTTGGGTAGAGAATGAGGTCGGAGCTTGAGCAATCCAGCAGTTATACTCAAGTGAGCTCGAAGCCCGTTGGTAAACGGTTGAACCGCCGATCACCGCTTTGTGATGCACCAAAGGACATGAAATAAAACGTATCATGTGTTGCAACGGGGACTAGCAAGTGAAGGGTTGGTTATGACGACGCGATTTTAGCGCAGCTCTTTTGAGTATTTTCTTTTTGTCCGGCAAGCTCCTCTCCATTGCCAAGATCCCCGGGTGCCGTGTGTCCCGACAGCAGCTTTTGACCGCTCGGCCTAGCTCACCCGAGCGTTCCGTTTTGACCCACGCAAACTCTTTATATAGACGACGCCGTCACGACGGGGACCACTTTGCCGCGAGGAGAGGGTGTTCAAGCCAAGCGGTGGAGACAAGGCGAAGAGAATTGGCGCCCTGTCAAGAAAACGATCAATCGCCGACAAGAATTTTCAAGATGAGATGTGTGAGGGGAAGCAAAGTATGTATGGATGAAAGATCGGACAGGACGGCACAGCTTCATCCGATCGGAGGTTAACTCACCCTTCTCTTGTTATGCAGCAGTCCCATGCAGGCGTAAAGAACACGACAGATGTGCAGATACTCATCCAGCAGACTCGGAAACTCAACCCTAGCGCCGCAGCGCGTGACAATAATGCGCCGGGATATTGCTAGTATTTATGTCCGACCAGACTGACTCACTCATGGAGATAGGCCATTGTTCCTGGGAGGACTTTGCTCCGTGAGGGGGCACATCAAGGTTCTGCACATGATATGGCGGAAGGTGTAACTGCTCGGTATTCACCAAACACACAGCGACTGCAATCGTGGGATAGGCGGACAGACAGCCGTTTCGGCTCCCACGAACCCCGAACCTGCGAGTGTTATCCCCCGAGTCCTTGTCAGTGAGTGTTGATCAGCACAGAGAACAAATTGGAAATCCGCGTCTACTTTTGGCATCGCAGACGAGATTACCCCGAGATTACGAAATATTACAAACGGCTGGAGCCTGCGGAAGCACCGGGACCAGTGTAACAGTTAGTCTTGACGAAGAGTGATGTGAAATTACTAATCCCCGGTGCCTGTGGGTGAAGCTAAAATGAGAGACGAATGACCGTATCCGGCTCTGCATGGGCGAGTTCCAAAGCAATCTCAGCGAACCCTTGCTTGGAGATCCAGTTGGCGATGTGGGAGAGGCGGCGATGGAGGCGCATAGCTGCGTGTCGAATAAGCTTGAGTCAATGTTCAAGCTCGGCCGGCGTGGAAGTCGGGCAGAAAGACATCTGGAGCTGAAGTTAGCAAATCGCTAAACGTCTCTTATCAGATGTAGACGAGACTCGGAGCCCAGATGGCCGGCCGAGGACTGTCAGCGAAACGCGAGCACCGACAGGGAGTAAGCTGTTCAGGGCGGGAAAAGGTCTAGGTCATGCGGCTGGTCGTGTTCCCCACCACTGCCACCAGCGTCATCGAGTGATCATCCCAAGGATGATGGACTGTGGCTGTTTGGCAGATTTTTTGCTCCCTCCACTCCCGTTCCACCATGCACAACAGGGCCCTCTCTTTGTCACCGATGACAGCACGCCTGTCTGCTTGCTCAAGCAAACACACTGCCATCCGACACATAATGGCTGTGTTGGGGAGCGTTCTGCTGCTAAACTCCTTCAGCCTTATGACTTCAGGGACTGATCAAAACAAAGCTTGGTATCTCCATTCTTTTGCTGGAGCATGCATAACATTTCATCCCCAGCTCCATTCGCAGAAATAGCTCAACGGTTGGTACCCAAGGGTAGCTAAAATTGCTCGATTTCACAGGCCGAATTCTGGCCGCAACTGGAGAGCTCCGATCTTCCTATCCGGCTTCATTAATAATAGGCCAGCTCCGCTCTTCTTTTTTATGAGTTCTTGCTTTCGTTCAGCTCTTGACAGCTTCTCTTTTCTCCTTGAGTCCTCCTTCATTTTAGTCAGGCCACTCTCTTCCTTTGCATGCTTCTTCTTATCCCCGTCTAGAAGCAAGCTCCTCTCGCTTCTCTTCCTTACTGGTTGCCTCTTACCCGTTGGAAACTTATCACGAAAGTATTCTCTTGGCTCATGTTGCGGCTGCCCATATCATACTCCCTCCTCGGAGTCCTTCCACTTCTCCTCTCTTTGGGAGTATACGCACAACCTCACGGCGACGACCATGGCGGTATGGACATGCATGGTGGAGGGATCGCGCCCTCTCTTACCACCACTGCGAAACCGGCTGATACCTCTGGCCCAATAAGCTACTTTGCCCATGGAGAACATTTTGGAGCTATCGCGGCTCACATTGTCCTAATGGTTCTTGCCTGGTTTTTCATTCTTCCGATCGGTATGGGTGAAGAAATGCTACAGTTGGAGATATTGGTGCTGATCACCTTTACAACCCAGGTGTCATGTTTAGCGTTGCGCGATCCTATCTCACTCTTCCCGTTCAATTTCTCTTCCTTATCGTCAATGCGCTTGGGCTGCTTATGGGTGTCATCTATAACAGCCAAACCCCAGATTTGTATGAAAATAATGCGCACCACAAAATTGGATGGCTCGCTACGTGGGTCATAATCGCGGAGGTCATTATGGGGCTACTTTTTGCCTATTCCGGAAGAAGCAAAAGCGCTGGCGATTCCAGTTATGAAAGTGTTGCTTTCTTACCAGTGCCACAGGATTCTCCTCAGGATATCCCGCGCGAAGGCCAACATCGTTGGTCCGGCGATAGTGGACAGGGGACTGAAAGAAGTTCTGCATCCCTGCGTAGCCCACGGTCCAGCTCAGTGGAGCGTGGTCGTCGTATGTACCGTGATGGCGAGGCCGATGATTTTGAGGAAAAGCCACTCGATGGAGCTATACATAACCCCAAACCACGACGGTTTTTCGGGGCTGCTTTCCTAGACAAATATCTGGCGCATCGTATTCCGGGCTTGCTACCTCAGCGCGTTCTGGACATTTTAAGGATGATACATGTCGTTATCGAAAGGACAATCCTGATACTGGGCTTCATCGCACTGGCTAGTGGGGGTGTTACATATGGTGGCATCTTTGTAAGTATTACCTTCACAACTAGGACGAGCCTGGCCATTTTGCAAAGGCTGACGATCCTCAGAGAGGTAGCAATATCTTTAACGGCCTCGCGCATTTCATCAAAGGAGGTATCTTTGTGTGGTACGGACTTTTGACGCTGGGAAGATGGGTTGGCTGCTTTGCCGATTTCGGTTGGGCCTGGAACGTCAAACCTTCACGGGCAATCGTGGGATGGAAAGCTAGAATCCCTACCGGCGAATTTGTTGAGTCCTTTGTTATTTTCCTCTATGGCGCGAGTAATGTGTTCCTTGAACATTTGGCTGCTTGGGGCGACGCATGGACGGCGCAAGATCTCGAACACGTCTCGATCTCGATTATGTTCTTTGGCGGAGGCCTGGTGAGTTTGACGTACCTTCTTCGGTCAAAAAAAGGCCTTTTGAGGGCTAACATAGATGCAAGTGTGGTATGCTCGCGGAATCAACACGTCTCCGGGAGTGGATAAACACAAGTGTGCTCGCAGCCCCAGTGCACTTGGATCAGTATGCGGAGGTCGAAGAATGGCAACCACCAAAAACCCAGAAGCTATCGCTTAACCCAATGCCGGCCATTGTGATTCTCTTACTTGGCCTGATGATGAGTTCGCATCATCAGGCTAGTATGGTTTCCACGATGGTTCATTCCCAGTGGGGTATGCTTCTTGTTGGATTCTCGCTCGCCCGCGCTGTCACCTATGTCATGCTTTACCTTCACCCGCCATCTTCGTTGCTCCCATCTCGACCACCCTCTGAACTGGTGGCTTCGTTTTGCCTTATCTCGGGTGGTCTTATTTTCATGCTTAGCGTAAGTTCGACCTTGGGCGTGACCATTTTTGACGAGTCCACCTCGCTAACAACTCTCTAGACCAAGGACGTGATTGACGCAATGGTGCACTACGACCTGAATGCGATGTTCGTTTTCACGCTCGGCATGGGCTTCACGGCATTCGTGATGGCTTGGGAGATTGTCACCATCTCGCTCAAGGCGTGGGCATCAAAGAGATACGCACTTCCAGCTCCTCGAAAATTCCGATTTCCAGCATAGAGGGCTAGTCGCTGATAACGATACCCAGTTTGCATTTTTGCCCCATTGTTTTCTTGTTTTCTACATATCTTGCAGAACTAATTTTCGCTTTATACCCTTTCATTTGGAGTGCGTGTCGGTTTAAGGTCTTATCAAATAAAAAGGGAGCACGAAATCGGAGGACGGAATCTGGACAGCAATGTCCTGTAATGTATTTATGACTGCAACGTTCTCTCTACTCTAATATCTGTATCTAAAGGGCAAACCTGATAACCATACAAGGGTTATGAGATTCGAATAATAATTCATTCAATTCCTTATTCGACAAGATGTATGGAGTAAGAGTGATGCCCAGCTAAGCTCTGGGCTTGTGTTTAGGGGCGCTTTCGCCAAGGTTTGTTAACAAGCGCCATTGTTTTAGCTTCAAGCTAAACTTTCCAAAGATTTATTGATCTCAACTCTTGCGTGAGTATCTGGTAAATCCCATATTTTCCTCTACAGCACCGGTTCATCTTCGAGGGGTGAAATTAGCCTTTTAAATCTCAAGTTAGATTGCGCAAGGATATCCCTTTTGGTCTGCGTGTTTGCTGACTTAGTTAACTAATTAGTCCCTAAAGTAGCCTGCGAATTCGTTGACACCCGCCCTCCAGGTTGTGACGAGAAACCGACTCAGTGTTACGCTCGACGACGGAATAGCTGTGGTGTGTTCAATTGAGCTGGGGTCTGCAGAGCTTGCAGAGCGTGAAGGCCGTTCCTCTATTGTAACTGCGTGGCTGGACTTCTTCACCTACCTATTTTCCGGCCTCGGTCATCGCATTCTTGCCCCAGTTATACGATCTACAGTGTTCGCTCGAGTCATACTGAACACGAACCCATTGAAACCGTACTTTTATCGACCGGGTTTGCGACGACGGCCTTTGATCCGTCTCCAATCCAGCTCATTCGGCGCTCACCGTCCCCTCGAGGAACATCCGTCCCAATAACATGCAGTCGTTTCCTTCCCTTCCGTTCAGCCCTATGCGGCTCCGATCGTACATACTGCGCCTCCCGTTATTCACGCGAACGGTCTTATTAGCGATTGCCACGTTTTGGCTCCTGGATTTACAACCTGCGTGGAGCGTCCCGCGTTGGGGAGCATTGCAGCCCAGTGCAATTAGTCTTGCAAGCAGTGGGTATACACCCTGCATTTTTTCGATATGATTCTTGAGGCACGGAAGTCCTGACAATTGTTATTTCTTGGATTTCAGTGCACAGACTTAACACCTACCCGTTCATCCACCAGGGATTCATCCACGCATTTTTGAATGTGCTAGCATTGACGCCGTTGTTGGAGAGATTTGAGGCAGAATATGGAACGCTTACCTCACTGGCTATGTTTATGGGGCGTAGGTTACTCCTGGAAGCAAGGTTTGGATTCGGGGATGGGTAACTGACAGGTTTGTTTTAGCACTATCAACATTCCCGGGAGGGTTATATATACTCCTTGAGAAATATGTTTTACGGGGAGATTCTGCAATTTTAGGATCAAGGTATGGATGCTAGGGACCTTTTTTGACCGGTATCGCTAACGGAGCCGCATACAGTGTTTGGGTGTTCCTCCTCCTTGGGTCAGAAGCCATCAAGACGTATGCTTCAAATCCTCACTTTAGGTACGTTGATTTGCCTCCTTCTAGACTTATTCGGGGATATGGCTAACCTGTGGTAGTCTCGGATCGGTTAAAATCCCAACTTGGACTACACCGCTGATTGCAACAATCTTCGTCTTCGCCTTGGTGCCAAACACCAGTTTTCTGGGACACCTGTGTGCTCTTGCCGTGGGATATGTCCGTAAGTATTAGCTCTCCCGTCGGCCAGAAATCATCGATTGACCCTGCCTTCGTAGTTGGACTCGGCTATCTGAAAATCCTTTTCCCTCCGGAAAAGATCCTGCGATGGTTTGAAAGCAAATTAAACCTCCTTGCAATCCTTCCACATTACGTATCGGTTGACCAGAAAACCTATGGGAGGTACGGAATACTACCAACAGGCGGTTCTTCTAATGGTCCCGCAGTGGCTATGAATTACTTTGGATCTACCCAACGATTAGGGCCATAGCTGGACCCTACATAGGTATAGTATTGAATTAACAAATACCCCTGTTCGTACTTCTTGTTCTGAACAATACCCGGTTTGCATTCCATGTAATGATTGCAGCCAGAACGGAATGGCATAGATTATACTTTTCATGTATATGTTTAGAGATATTTAATATTTAATGATTTATGAGAATCGAAAGTATCTTAGTATTTTTTCTTCAGTTCAATAAGGATACTAGTTCCTCATGTATGTTTTGTGCTGCATCACTTCGGAGGAACTAACTTACGGAGCGTCGTCGACTCCAAAGTGGCACATTAACTAGTGGTTAACGAAGCTCCCAAGGTGACCTTCAAACTCCATGGCTTCCATGGGACCTTACCCGTGAGGGCACTTTTCCCAATGGCATTAATATGTAAGTAAAATCACTAACAATCTGGCATATCTCACTTTGTCAATCTCGAGTTTTCAGCTTGGTTATGTTCTGAACTGACAGTCGGTCTCCAAGCGAATCTAATCCTCAAACTACGACGCGATCCGCGCCCCTTGTCCAAACTTCCTCCGTACCTCTCCGCGTTCCTCATTCTTGTCGGTATAATATGGCTTCTCCTGCTGCCGTTGAACGAATACTCTCGACAAACATACATTTCTGAAAATGCGTTGTTGCCGGGACAAGTGCACACGTACTTCTCGGGGAGCGACCAGAATATATTCCGGGGATATAGGCAGGAGATTGAAGCGGTCAAGGACGCGGAGTATGATGTGTACGTTCTTCCCGACCGTCCTCGATAGAAATACCTTGACAGATTTTTGGGAGGGGGCCTTTGTGGTGACTTGCCGTCGGGTCTGGCGAACATTGCGCTGATGGGTTTTCATGACGCAGGGTTTCGCAAAAATTGCAATCGATTTTCGCAGAATCCGGCTTGAAGGTTGCGACCCAGAATTACGAATATCGGTCTGCAGGCCATCGCCATTCGGGCCAAAATGTTTATAGTATCATCCAGGCCCCCCGGGGCGATGGTACAGAAGCAATTGTTCTGGTCGCCGCGTGGAAGACAATCAAGGGTGAACCCAACCTCAATGGCGTTGCACTGGCTTTGACTCTAGCCCGGTACTTCAAAAGTATGGTCATACCTTTGTCTAGACAATTGCTGTCTGGGTTTCACTGACCCTCTTTGCTTAGGATGGTCTCTCTGGTCCAAAGATATCATTTTCCTAATCACGCCGGATAGCAAATCCGGCGCTCAGGCATGGGTTGACGCCTATCATGACATGCACCCTCCATCTGTGGAGCCGCTGCCCCTCAAGAGCGGCGTCCTCGAAGGTGCTCTGGTTTTTGAATATCCCTTTGACCATCGTTTTGAATCCGTGCACATAGTCTACGACGGGGTCAACGGCCAATTACCGAATTTGGATTTGTTCAACACCGCAGTCTCAATATCCAGTGGGCAAATGGGCATCCGGGCAGAATTGCAAGAAATGTGGAATCACAACGATAGCTACAAGATGAGGCTGCGGACTATGCTTAGAGGCATGATGAGGCAAGGCTTGGGTAGCGCGGCGGGACTTCATAGCAGCTTCATTCCGTATCACATTGATGCGATCACGATCCAAACAACTGGAGAGGGATGGCAAGATGAGATGGCTCTAGGTCGGACAATTGAAGGCTTGGTTCGAAGCCTAAATAACCTATTGGAGCACCTGCATCAGAGCTTCTTCTTCTACTTGTTGATGCAAGCGAATCGGTTTGTGAGCATTGGAACATATCTTCCCAGTGCTATGCTGATTGCAGGGAATTTTACAATCATGGCTATTGCGTTGTGGATGAAAAGCGGATATTCGGCGCCTGAAGCACAGCCAACTTTGGAAAAGGTAGAAAAAGCAGGCGAAGGACAGCCAGCAAGCCAGGCAGACAGTGACTCCCCCGTGAAGGGAGAGACTAGCGGAACCCTGGAGCGGCATCTTGCGCTCCCGGTTGGTTTGGTTCTTGGGCTGCATTTCCTTGGGGCCGTCCCTCTTTATCTTTTCAATCACCTCTCTCAACAAGTACGTACTGCTCCTCTCAGGTGGTCGAATACTACAGATTCAAGGACTAACCTTTTTGCAGTTCCTCGCTTCGACAGCATACTATTTCGCCTTCATCAATATCCTCACCCCACTCGTACTTGCGACCATACTTACACGATTTCATGCTCCCACAGCCCAGCAATTCCTACTTATCAAATCGTTCTCTCTTCTCTTGCTTGGCCTCTTCCTCTCCGCGCTTGCGACCTTGAACTTCTCTCTTTCCCTCTTAATGGGGCTATTCTGCACCCCTCTTTCATTCGCAGGATACATTAAACCCACGTCGACAACGTCCACCTCGCCCACCTCGCCCACCAGCGCCAAGCTGACACTTCCCAAGGACACTAAAGTCTCTAAACCATCGCCGCTGACGCCTTGTGTTCTTGCTAGGGTAGTAGTGGGCCTGGTGGTGTTGAACTTGGTTGCCCCAAGCGCGGTTCTCTTGGTGGCTTGCAAGGTGTGGAATGTTTCCGTGGAGGACATCCTCACCGAGGCTGCATTCGGATGGAACGTATGGGGAATGTGGACGCAGGTAGCTGTGTGGTGCGTTTGGTGGCCGGCCTGGTTAGCTGGGGTGATGGGGACAGTCTCGTCAGTGTTAGTTTGATAGAGGCGAACAGGAACCCATCAATACAGTTTCGTAGCGTTGGTATCCTTGAAGCTGTATCTAATCACGGAGTGCATATTGTTCTGGTTATTCGCTTCGAGCTTTTTACTATACTCCGTCCAATAATCCAAGTTTCGAGTTGGCGTACTCCGTATTTTCTACGTTTTCAACCCCATATATCTCAACGAAACTATATAACCAATCACTTGATTAAAGTCAATGGGTAGAGAAATTTCTAGGAGTATTTTCTCCGTGATCCTTTACAAGGTGATTTGTTTGTATAGCGGAGCCAACCAACTGGTCTCTTGGCTGTTAGGAAACTCCCCGATGCTAACCTCGTCTTCATACTTGAGAGTTTCCTTCAACACGACGCTGTTGTCCTTCAGTGGGCTCCCTTCGCAGTCTTCTCCTTTCAATATCAAAACTAGCAAAAAACTTCGAAAGCTGTTTAAAGTGTTCCATCGTATACGCTCTCCATACAAGCTATATTCCAATACCATAACACCCCGCAGGGCTTAAAGCATCTATTCAAAATGAAAAACCTGACAGACCTCGCTATCGAAGTCCTTGATATTATTGTATCTCTACTGGACCGGCCATCTCTCAAAACATTGCGGTATACATGTCGTTTACTTTCGGCATTGTCAACCCGTGCGCTTTTTAGGGTCCTATACTTGTTCCCCGAAGAGCAGAGCTGCAGGATGTGTAGAAACATCCTAGATGACAGTATTTTGAAAAGCCATGTGCGGAAAGTATATGTGAACACAATTGAAGAGGACTGGGTATGTGAAATCGTAGTATCTTTGAAACTATTCTCCCTGTCCTAACTAACTGCTCTAGGAGTCGGAGCCGGAAAACGGGGGCAATTTTGACCATGGCTATGAGACGGATGATTATGAGCCTTCCCTTGAGACAAAAGCCCAAATGTCGCTATTGACTCAATTTCCGCTCCTAGAACACATCACTTTGCGTTTTGAGAAGAATTTCACTAAAGAGAGCGGCGGGTTCTATAGTGATTATCCTCCCCAGAATCTTGAATTCCGCTTGGAAGTACTGCAATGGTTTTTCTCGTCCTTGGTTGCTTCTTCAGTGCGCCCGCGAAGTTTGGCATTTCGAAATATCCATAGTATTGCTTTGCAAGATCCCGCCATGCTAGACTTGCTTGCACAGATGCTCCACGGCTTACGAGCACTCCGACTGAATGTCTCGAATCAAAGACAAAATGGGGATTATGGCTATGTTGTAGGTCGCATCTCTATACACTTCGGTTCGGGAGGTATCTAATAACTCCAGGTGGATAACCCGCATACCTTTGAGCAGCTTCCGTCGGACTGGCTTAGCCCGACTAAGTCCACTCTCGAGCACCTTACTTTGTACAGTAACCAGCCTTTTGGTTTATTTCCGAAATTGGACCTATCCAGTATCCACTTCCCCAGATTGAAGTCGCTTGCACTAGGGCAATACGAATTCTTCCACGACGATCAGCTAGATTGGATCATCTCCCATGGTCCTACGCTGCGGGAGCTGTACCTCGACAACTGCATCATTCTCCATGCGATCGTATACTCTGAATGGGAGCAAGGGCACCTTCATCGTTACCATCCAAGTGCATTAAGCGGAAAATGGGATGAGGTGGAGCGCTCGCTCGACCCACGTACAACCCGCTATATTTATACAACACGGTGGCATGATTACTTTGCCATGTTCCGCACGGGGCTTCCGCTTCTACAACATTTCCGCATCGGTAAAAGCATGTGGTGTCACGAGTTTCCGTTTGAGAAAGAGCGAGAAATCGAGATAGGCCTCTTCGAGGATCGGTATCTGACCTGGGACGGTGGCTTCCATACAAGGTCCAGCGACTTTGATATACCCGAAGAGTTGGGTGATATCTCGTCCTGTGACGAAGAAGACAAAGATGCGCTTTTGGCTCTCTTCCAGAAGATTGGCCAGAACGTCCCAGAAAGAGAGGGCGGGCTAGTGTGTGATGAGCAAGGAGTTTGGCATTGATGTGGACGGAATATTAGCTCCTGCATTTGAATGACCTAAAAAATACTGCCGTATCTGAGAAGCTTGAAGCTTTTCTAGGTCCAACTGTGAGAACCCAGCTCCCATAACAGACGCGCAGGCATAGTTACCACAGCCATTGTCCTCCATGCTAAGAAATAGTGGCTTGTGTGCCCTCAGGCTAAGTTGGGGAGGTTAGAGGTGAAGCGTGTGAAAGACCTCAATATCTCCCATGGCCAGCTGAGGGATCAGGCGGATATGATGCCATCTTAGAAACTCTAATAGCAAGGATGTTGAATCACTGTTGTTGTCAGAATGATGAATTGAAAAGGCAGTGAAGTCTTGGCCAAGCAATTCCCTCTTTCTGGTCAAGCGCGCTTTTAGGTTGCCGTGAGCCAATTGGCCCGTTCTCTGACGCTGATCGCTTTCTATCTCGATGGGATATGGATGTATGAACCAGGAAAATAATGTCAAATGCGAGGCGGAATGGGGGCTGGAAAGATGGCATTGGGCGCTGTATACTCTGTATATATAATGGACATCATGGTAGTTTATAATCTGCTTCGGAGTTATTTCGTCTTGCAAAGGACATTCAATTTGACGCCTTTTTTCAACTGATTAATCGAGTTCTCTACCTGATCACTTGGTGAAGAGGGACTGCACCCATTTCAGTATGCCTGACGGCCGACCTGGTACTGCGGGCATCCCTATTGCAGCGATTAAAACTTGCTGACAACATATCCAGTTGAAGGGAGCCTCTACATCTATGCTCCAAACAAGGTAGCACCAATCTTCTTCGCGATCGCATTTGCGGTCTCAACAACCGGCCATTTCTGGCAATGCTAGTAAGTTGCTCGCCAGGATTGTCTTGCTCCTCAAGTCCCCCGCCATCAGCTAACAGTTTTCCATGATAGCCATTACAAGTGCTTCAAGCTCATGGGCTTGCACTTGCTTTGCGGCCTCATGTTCACTGCCGGGTTCGCGCTGCGAGAGTACGGTACTTTCAATTATCTGTTCGAGGGTAATAACCTCAACTATTATATCGCGACCATTTCGTTGATTTATATGGCCCCGTAAGTAGCTGCGACTCTGTCGGGAAAAGCTGCCTGTGACGCTGTACTAAAGAAGCCTGGCTTTCAGACCACTTCTCGAGTTAGCCAATTACCACATCCTGGGTCGTATCCTTTACTACGTACCATATTTTGCACCTCTTCACCCAGGTCGCGTTCTCACCACGTTTGGGATGCTATCTTGCATTGTTGAGGTGATGAATGCGATTGGCATATCGTATAGCGTCAACAAATCACTATCGGAAGATGTAAACAAAGTCGGCGAAATCCTAGTAAAGGCTTCCCTCCTGGTCCAGATCGTGGTAATCGCTCTGTTCTGCCTGCTCGCAGGCATCTTCCACCAGCGTTGCGCCAGGGCCCGCGTGAGCTCCCGCAGCGTTTCAGCTCCGTTATTGACGTTATATGCCAGCCAGTTCCTCATCCTAGCACGCTGCATTTATCGGACCATTGAACACTTCGACACTTCGAAAGCGTTGGCTTCCCAAGACGTCGACCTTGCGACCATCAGCCCTCTCCTGCGATATGAGTGGTTCTTTTACGTCTTTGAGGCGACTTTCATGCTGATCAATTCCGCCATGTGGAATTGGTGGCATCCAAGACGATATCTTCCGGAGAGTTACAACACATACCTCGCGCAGGACGGTATCACAGAGCTGGAAGGGCCTGGCTGGAAGGATGATCGGCCGGTTTGGCTTACCTTGATTGATCCATTTGGTTTCGTCAATTGGTCAGGAAAGAAAGAGAAGCCGTTCTGGGAAACTAATGGATATTTTGCGGTCAAGGGTCACGACCCTCAGAAGAGCAACGTGTAACATGGGGATGGGTATAATCTTTAGAACTGGGCTTAAGAGAGGGCTTTTTTTTTTTCCCTGGCGTACAATTGCAACATTCGGAGTCTTTCGGCCCTTTAGACTGCCTCCGACTGCCGTCCTTGGTCCGTGGGTGCATTGCCTTTTCTGCCAGCTGGACGTTTAGACCGTTAGTTTTAGATCCTTGATCAATATGGGGTACGGGTAATATTGACCGAATTATCTTCGCGTGAAGCTCAGTGAATGTATAAGGCCGTATACTTGTGCTCGCCATGGCTGAACACCCTCTTCCATGCAACACCATCTGCCGATCACTAGGCGCTCCCAAGGCTGATTCATGGCAAATATACTCCGTAGATCATTCGAGCACCTGAAGCAAGCGCTGATTGTGCTTTGTTCAGTCGAGCTTTGAAAGTGGACATCCCAAATCATGGGCATGACCACCTTTGGACTTCAATTTGTCAAGTTCCAAGATTCTTCAACAGCAAGTGAACGTCTCAATCAATTCTCCTAGATGGCTTCTCAATCTACGGAGTAGTCTTGGAGCTAATAGTCACTACAGTTTATCAAGTTTGTTAAAACCTGGTGGGGGCAGAACAGGCTGTGCACCAGCCATCAGGGATGACAGCCACTTCAATTGGCTCTCTTCATGTGTAGCCTCGACTGGCCAATACATAATTCATTCACAGAATTGTGTTATGGACGTTTGGAAAAGCCTTCATTTGCCTTTTGGTTGGGGAGGAATGGACGGTAATCATCTCTATGGGTCACTAATAACTAGTTGGTTAGTTAATCTCATGGCCTTCTGCGAAAACGAGGGGATACCCTTTGATAAATCGATAGTTACAATCTCAGGAAGCTGATACAACCATGCAGCTAACCAAGCATTGTTTGTACTCCATAGTGAAGATCTGATTCGACATCAGCTGCATCCGTGAGTTCAGGCTGTCTTCCTCCAGCCTTACCGCGCTAACCAGAATAGGAATTAAGAGTGCAGAGGACGGAGGACGGGTGCAGATCATCGCTGGGGATATAAAGGGCATGGGGAGAAATGGCAATAGTTAGTCATTCCATCACCCACCTCTGTTTCTCTCAAAACTGACAAAACGAAGCAGCCATTTCATCGTGTCCAATTGCTGGTTGGCACCAAGCAAGGGAGATATTGGGGCCCGACCCAAGCATATGGAATCATCGGCAGCTACAAAGCAAACGAGTCGAAAACGGCAGTGCTGGGAATGCCACCGCCGTCGACTAGTTTGCGGCTCCGAGCGTCCCGCGTGTAAGAAGTGCGTGGCGGCCGGCGTCGATTGTCCCGGGTACGATGAGAAGAAACCGCTCAAATGGCTTCCTCCTGGGAAGGTGACCTCCCGCACTCGGCGGCGCCAACGCCCTCCGGCATCCCAAACTAACGGGCACACCACTACCCTTGCAATTCGTTCTAGCAATGCCGGTGCCAGTTCTCGTAAAGGTGCAACGCTTGGAGCCGAAGTCATGCCGCACTGTGCCGAAATGAAAGCAGCAGAAGTTCCCTTGCCTGTTGTCGACTTGATAGATGAGACTACTGTCATGATGCACACCGTGTACTACTGTGAGCCAGCCCTATGGCAAGAGGCGTAAGGCAAGGTCGGATCTCATATGCTGACTCTCCATGGTACCCTGTTAGATAACTTCTGTATATACCCTGATTTTGCATCCATGCACGAGCTAGCGCCAAACCCATATCTCATTCGCTTTGCTTTTGATGCGGTTTACCTCATCCCCGAGGGTATACGACATAGTTTGATTTGGCTCGCCCTAAATCACCGCATTCACAAGCTGCTTCCCACCACAGACCGCTCTGCCTTGATGCCAGCGCGGTCAAGCCTTTTGCACCACCGGGGTGTGGCCATACGGGTCATGGGCAAAGACCTTGACAAACCAGCCACTCGTACTAACGACGCGACCATAACTAGCGTTCTTCTCTTTCTCTTTGCAGAAGTAAGTTACCTGTTTTCGAGAGGTTGGAATTATGCGCTAACGTTGATTCCTCTGGCAATAGATCCGAGACCCTATCTCGCCGGATTGGCGGCTTCATTTTGGCGGCGCTGCTAAACTAATCATGCTGCGCGGTGGCCCTAGAAAAGTATTTTCGCGCTGCCCCATACCTGAAACCAATACTGGTATATTTTTTGATGTATATACCCCTTCCCCAGCCTCTGGAAATTTGATATCCCGTGTTTCAGAAGCTTACTCTTGCGCTTACCAGTATTGGAGTCATTGGGAATACAACCAGCCCTCCGTCCGAGCAAATCCCAACCGGTTCACACCTGGACTTGATGGACCTGGCATCAGAAATGTATGGAGATGGGCTTTTCCCCAGCCTTCTTTGTCCTCCACCTCTGTTCCTCGATATCATTAGCATCAACCACTTGCGATTTCGAGGAAGTCATCCATCCCTTGTGAATAAATTCACTCAATCTGCAGCCGAGGCGGTGTTGAAACACATTGACGCTTTCTCTCCAGAGCAATGGGCAGCACCCAACACCTCCTCTTTAGAGGAATGGCTACTGCTTGGGAGAATATACCAATCAGCTGTCATTTTGTACTGCATATCGTCACTTCAGAGTATTTCCGTCCTTCCGTCAACTCCGGAACTAAAAATCATCAGAACTGTCCACAGCGACCGCCTATCCCTGCTGCTAAAAAGGGCTTTAGTGTCTGAACGAATAAAGAAATGTCTGATGTGGCCATTGGCCGTGTCCGGAATGGAGGCAGTGAATGGCAGCCTAGCCGCGCGCGATTGCGTTCTTCAGCAATTGACGGAGATGAGTCAAGATCTGGGTTCTTCGTTGCCGCTGTTGGCCAAGTCGATGTTCAAGAGATTTTGGGCCTCGGGAAAGACTAAATGGGACGATTGCTTCGATACACCGTATGCATTCGTGCCCTAAAGAGCTATGTACTGATCTATGTTAGTTGGTGTCAAACTATAAAGGCACCACGTTTTAGCCTCAAAGGGCGGGCTGATCACGATTGTAATCATGCGACATACTTGAGTAATTCAAGGGATATATAAAAGACCATGAAAGTTGGGTGATATTGGCGAAGTTATTGCCAGAAGTTGGTAAGTCTTGACCCTACAGCGTAAAGTCTGCATATTAACAGCTTTCGTAGCAACGAGCATAGAGACACCTTTTCATTATGGAGTACTACCTTGCCCTAGCTTCTGGTGGTTAATGTCTCTCAAAGCTGAGTAACTCATTGATGCTCTTACTCAACACGAAAGAAACAAGGCCATCAGAAGGGCAATGCCTGCGTCATGTATTGAACAGAAATATCTATGTTGACGAACCGGTGGTTGATGGCGTTGATGTCATAGAACTAGGAACCCGACGTACCCAAGTCGGGTTCGCACCTTGTCACACTTAAGAGGGCATTTTGGCTGGCTTATAGTGGCCCGTAACCAGAGGCATAATACGATGAAGGGAGGGCTTTAAAAAGTTTCTATCATCAGGTCATCAGAGAATGAAGGCTGACCACCTGACTGCAATTGTAAAGTGCCATGTAAATTCTGGATTCCTGGATTCAATGGCAAGCACAACTCTCCTTAGCCTCATGTTTCCTTGTAACATTGCACATAAATGGACATTCTCCTGTGTATAGTCTTGGATCATGCGCTAAAATGCCTAGCATCTTTTGCTATCTCGGACAGGAATAACACATGCCTAAGCAACCCAGACATCTTTTCCAACTCCCTCAATCCAGTGACCCAGCTGATTAACACCAGCATCCCACTCCTTCAACCTGTTCCTCATTCCCCCAATCTGCTTCATATCCAGCACTTTCGGCTGTACCCAATTGATCCTCGCAATCCGTGATACTTGATCGATCGAGCCCTTTAGTAGACCCAAACTTAATGCCTTCATAATCAGATGCTCAATCTCATTCGGCTGAACTTTGGTCTCCTCTGATATTGCTGCAAATGTAACCGTTCGATCGTGGGGCGGTCGACGAAATATCATCTCTGTGAGTGCAGAGAGGGAGATCTTTTGGTAAAGGAAAAGTTTATGTTGTTCAAGAAGAGGGTTCTTGCTGATATTTCCCCGCTAAAACATCATAAGCGGTCAAATCGCCCGCGGTTGAAAGCAAACAAGAGTTCGCGGAGCCATGCGTGGGGCGTTTCTGTGAGCGAATCGAGGATCGGATGAAGGAGAAGTTCGCCGAAATTGTAGATTGTATCCGATACTAGAGCAGCTATACTGAGGTCGTACGCTCTAGCTGCACGTTCTTCTGGGGTGACGTCCTCTACGTCAACGCAGGCGAGATAGAGGAGCGCGTTTTTGTAGTAGGAAGCAAACTCCAATTTCGCCTTGATAAAAAAAAAAGAAATGTTAGCAAAGGACATAAAGCACAATTGCCAGGCCGGGCTCGCGTACATGATAATAGTCTGCGTTTACTTTATAAAACGAGGCATGCACGACGTTTTCGACAGAGTCAAATGAGTCCAAGACAGTCTGTGATGCATCGAGATTTGCCCGAGAGCCCTCAAAATCCCCCAGTCGTAGCTTAACGGCGGCGACATCTGACATGGCGTAGACATATGCGTCTTGAGAACTAGGTTTATTGACTTTATCAGCCAAGGCTATTAGAAAAGATAGTCGTTCTGCATCATCTACACACGACCGAATGAGAGATGTCAGTAACCAGTCTCGAAAGCTCGCAACAGAATAGAACCTCACAAACCTTTGCATTGGGCCGAAGCCATTCGTCCTAACGTCACAAATTTCAACTGATTAATCTTATCTGCAAAGCTAAGAACGAAATTCTTGAAAAAAGGTAGCCGCTGCGGCGCGCTCGGGGGCTCAGAGAAGTACTTTATCAAGCCGTCGGTGAGCTGATGCCATAGCTTTCGCTCCCAGAAACTTTCAAAATCGAGTAATGTAGATTGGTACTCTTCTGGAGCTAGTTCTCGCTGCTCTGCGAGAAACTCGGGAATCTTGTTGGCCTGCATGGCGACTTGACGGGGAACTTGGAGCAGTGAATGAAGCGAACTGCCGTGTTCAAGGGGACACCAACAGCAAATCTCTATTTCATGCGAGTCATATAAAGAAAAAGATTAGCTGCAAATATGCCTAGGCCGTATTGGTTATCGCGGATGCTTTCACTCAAGTTGCCATGAACGCCTGAGGTCAAGTGTCAGACTGTCAGTGATGTGATGCTGATGAGAGCTCTCATGGTCTTCCTCGCATACCGGAGAGAATTTGATTAGTCATGCTTAATGAATAAGCAGATTTGATTGAGTTAGACGCTAAGCCACTCTTGGATCCAACATCCCTGACTCCGTACTCGGCAGCGCCGTGCTCAAAGGTTTGAACAACACCTACAACAACGCCGACAATCTTCAACTCTCGTCTCCGGGTCTCCGAGGAGCAAAGACAGCTAGCTCGCTGGTATTTTGAATATCACGCAGAACCCCGCAATTGTGATCCCGTCTCAATGCCGACGATACTGCCTCCACCTGTTTCCGTGGCAGATTGCGGAAAAGACTGGCACTGTGGATGTTCTTTACCAGACTGAGCAGGATGCTGCCGATCCAACGGTTTATCTTGAGGGACCATTTCCTGCGCACCGGTGATACAAAACAGCGCCCACTAGAGGTGGGCGCGTAGCGCGAGTAGATGTTCTTTTATCTCTTGAGAAATGTGCTGAATGAAGCTAGCGGAGCCCCGTGGGACAAAACCTCTTCGAGCTTGGACAGCCGGCACCTTTTGAAAAGCCTTCATCTAGTACGGAGTACTCCTTCTGGTTTTCTCTGATTCCGCCCGGATTAGCGTACAGAACGTTGCCTCAACACGTTCGGATTCTGTTTCTAAGTGAGCACTAGATCTACATTCGATTTGCGGGGTTTAACCTAGGCCGGATCATCATACATGAATCGTGCAATGCATGCTTTCGACAATCCTGAGCAGCTATTATTCCCTCCACTCATTCAGTCAGGAACCAAACTCAACACACCCTACTTGCAGACTTATTGATCTGCTATGAAAGCACATGCATTGTGACATAAGAAGCTGATGATCACTGCATGTCTTCTACAGAATATTGTTGACCTGTGATCAGGCATACCAATTCTTGACTTTCCAAATCAAGAAGTCAGCCTGGTCTCTGATTATGAAGTATCTGTGAAAGGAGTTGCTTTATCCTCAGTTTGTATTTGGATACCCAATGGAGTTGGAGTGTTAAGGCTCCCGCATCCTATACGGAATACCCCTATGTTTATGGACAAAGGCATAAAAGGACGGCCGTCCCCTCAACTCGACGTCCTCCTACAAACCAACGGCATCAAGCGTATACACGAACCGAACGTTAACTATCACTTCGACAAACAGCCAAACCCACAATGAAACTCAGCGCGATCACGGTTCTCCTCTGCGGCTCCCTTGCTTCAGCCGGCTGGATCGAGCTGAAAACCGCCAGCGGACGAAGCACAAACACCGGAGACGCGAATAAAGGCTGCCTAGGCCCGGTCGCTGGTAGAGGGCCGTACAAACTCATTGCTCATGACTTCAAACCGAAATCCCTCAAAATCTACGCCGGGGCGAATTGCAAGGGGGAGGTTCTCAATTCCTGCACTGGTTGCACATCTTTAACAGCTGGTAACGCAAGTAAGTCGAAGTCATCTTGTACGTAGACCTGAGCCTCTAGTTAACCCTTGTTTCCGCTTCAATAGAACGAAGAGGCGCTGTTTGGGGCTGGTTCTCCTAGTCGCTTGCCGAAAGATCGCCGACTCAGGAGGGTTGTGGTGCATCGCTTTTGGGGCGACTTTGCTGTGAATGGGTCTTGTTTTCTACTGTTATTGAGCGGTGGTGTGCTGCCCTATTTTTGTTGTCAATATCCGTGGCAGAGTGTGAACTGTTACAACAATACCACTTCTGCCATAAGTAGTGTCTGAGGGATGTTAGCAACCAAGGCTCTGTTTTGCTGCGCAAATGAATTAATCACACTGATACGCTGTTTTCATTTTGATGTGTCTCTGCAGCAATTGCCGGCATCCTCCGATACTGAACGAGGCCCGGTTGCCAAGGATATAGTTAGCTATTAAGTTACATAAGCAATTGTATTTGAACCAGTGGTGTACTAGCCGGATTAAGAATAGCACAGATTCTTGAGATTCACGGCGTCGAGGAGCAACCAAGTACCACAGGTGGTGAATCCTGACACCATTCGGTCGGATCAGTTGACCAACCATCACTTTATTCGCGTTGTTTGACTATTGTGACTTCCAATTTCAACCGTCTTCTTTGATGGTTGTATAATTGGGAGACAATGCAGAAGTGTCGCGCCGTGCAAGGCGCATTCGGCTCAAAGGCCATCCTCGCTCCGCCCGCCTCTTCCGCCCGCCTGCAACCTCATGTCCAGAAGAGAAGCCTACAAGACATATTTATTACTCGCACAGGTACCCCGATCATAAAAGTGCAGGGTGGACGGTATGTGTCAAATCCCTCAACTCGCACCATAGACATCGAGAAAAATATTCCGGTGCTAACTAGCATATTTGCGTTCATGTAGGTCTTCGTTAGGAGGTAATTGATCAACCGAGATAACAATTGACAATCGTTTCTAAGCTTAATTGATCGCTAGGTCATACGGCTACCGTCTTCGGTGCCAGCGGTTTCCTAGGTCGCTATATTGTCAACAGACTTGGTAGGAGGACGGCCCGGCATCTCAAGACATGGTGGCTAATTAGTTGTGCAGCCAGGCAAGGATGTACAGTTATTGTTCCCTTCCGGGAGGAGATGACCAAACGCCATCTCAAAGTTACCGGTGACCTGGGGCGTGTTATCTTCACGGTGAGTGCTGTTGTCTTCTTGGAGGCCTTGAAAACGCTGACATCAGTGCCAGGAATTCGATCTCCGGAACACCCAGTCAATTGAAGAAAGCGTACGCCATTCGGATGTCGTGTACAATTTAATTGGCCGAGATTATCCCACAAAGTAAACAAGAAGCCCTCCATACCGCATGAAACAATGACTAAACTATGCCTCTTAAGGAACTTTACGCTTGAGGATGTTCATGTTGAAGGCACTGAAAGAATAGTGGAAGCCGTTGCCAAATATGATGTTGACCGTTATATTCATGTCTCCTCCCACAACGCAGACGTGAACTCTCCATCGGAATTCTTCCGCACTAAGGTCTGTTTTTTTCTGAGGCGCTCTTTATTCGTCAAGCGGGAATATTAACCTGATGGTACAGGCTCACGGTGAAAATGCCGCCAGAGAACTTTTCCCTGAAACTACCATTGTTCGTCCAGCTCCAATGTTCGGGTTCGAGGATAGATTACTACACAAACTTGCCGGTATCACGAATCTTTTCACTGCTAATCACATGCAGGAGAGATACTGGCCGGTTCATGTAGGTTGCGCTAAAACCCAGAACATATCGCAATGCTTACACTGCTTAGGCGATTGACGTCGGCCATGCTTTAGAACGTATGCTTTTTGAAGAATGGACCGTAGCTCAAACTTTTGAGCTCTATGGCCCTACAAACTATTCCACGGCAGAGATTTCGGAGCTAGTCGATCGTGAAATTATCAAGAAACGCCGACATATCAATGTTCCCAAAGCCATTTTCAAGCCTACTGCACACTGGCTCAATAGGCTTATTTGGTGGCCCACAACCTCTGCTGATCAGGTCGAAAGGGAATTCCTCGATCAGGTCATCGACCCTAATGCGAAAACCTTCAAGGACTTGGGCATTGAGCCAGCCGAATTAAGCAATCTTACTTTCCATTATTTGGTGAGTCCATCCCTTAATACTTTGAGACCAAGGGCACTGACTTACTTTTCTTCCGCAGCGAGGATACCGAAGCGACAGATACTCCGACCTTCCACCAGCTTCAGAACGGGAGGCATTGGAGGAGAAAAAGTATCTCCATGTACTGGACGACCAATGAGCTTTATAAACACTGTACATAAATTACTAGACACAATTGAATCTCGTTATTCGTTCTGACTTATTTTCAATTACTTTTCGGGGGGCCGCCAAGTCGTATGCAGTTTGAACGACAAGGTTGAGGAGCCCGCAGTAGTTACCGATGACGTTGGTATTGTCCCGATATCGATGCCGACATTCGGCATTCAATTCCTCAAATGTTCCCAATTCTGGAATGTATGCCTGGCAGCCCTTAAAGCTGCTTGGATTTCCATGTTACGATGACAGATGCCGAATTTTCTTTTTTCGGGAAGCCGAATTCGGCCATCCCAGTTCTCCTGCTCAAAACAAAATCCACCCCGCATGACGGGTACGAGGAGTACTTTTCCTCCACCACGAGGAGGCACCATTACAAGCCCATATTTGTTCCCGTGCTAGAGCATATATTCGACTATGAAAATTTAGGGAAATTGAAAGATCTTTTCGTTTCCCGGGCGTTGACAAGGAAATATGGCGGCTTGGTGTTCACCAGTCAGAGGGCAGTGGAGGGGTTTAGTCGGATGATTGTGGACGAGGTTGGTCGTGAGTGCTGCCTTTTGTTCATTTGTCCTTCTATTTTTTTTTAAAAAAAGGCCCCTTTGAGTGATTTGATCGCGTCGATTCTAGACTAAAATGAATATTCAGAAGACCTAGCCGAAGAGACCTCCCGCGATCTTGCCTTGTATACAGTTGGACCAGCCACCTACCGGTCGCTGAATACCTTACGACAAACCCACCTCCCACATGCGACCCTGGTTGGAAAAGATGCTGGCACGGGCGAACTTCTTGCGCAGCTTATACTAAATCATTACAATGGCCTTGATCGAAACCAGCAACCGTCTTCGAGATTAGAACAAGGTCGAAATGGAAGCGGGAAGCTTCCACTCCTCTTCCTCGTCGGCGAAACCCATCGCGACGTTATACCAAAGACTCTAATGTCTCCTGACCTTCCGCCCAACGAGAGGATACAGATTGACGAGTTGATAGTATATAAAACGGGCGTGATGGAAGCGTTCAGGGAGAATTTTGGGTCGATCCTGGAACGGCTCCACGAGACATCCAATCGGGAAAATGGAGCAGATTCGGAGGACAAGCGGGTGGTTATTGAATCTCGGGTTCCGATTTGGGTCGTCGTTTTCTCTCCCACCGGTTGTGATGCGATGGTTGAGATTCTGGGCATGTATCAGCGGGAGGGCCTGAAAGAAGATGAAGTATCGCGCGCAAGCGGGAAGGAAAATCAGGCAAGGAGGATGCACTATATCGCAACAATTGCCGGCATGACGAGGGATCACTTACGGCTGAACTTTGGAGTTGAGCCGGATGTATGTGCGGAGGTGCCGAGCCCAGAAGGTGTAGGTGATGGCATTGAGACTGTCACGGAACAGAAGACCGGAAAGTAGAACACATTACATGCTTGACTCCGACTTCTCGAGACAGTTAAAGTCCAGGATAACAATATCTCTAGAAACACTAGCGTATCTACGTGTATATTATTTGATGTTTATGGCGAGCAGCCCATCAGCACAGCAAGCGAACGGACTAGATCAAAATGGCATTTGGCCCTACGGTCCTTACAGATCGAAGAATGCGGATACTGGGTCCCCAAAAGCTACATCAGTTACCAAAATGCTTCAAAAGCGGGCATCAAGAATTATGTTGATTGGCAACCATGTACAGACACCGTTATTCACATCAAAAGGATTGACAACATTTCACGCATAATCGAGGTATCAAATCAATCATAGTTCTAAGGAAAACTCAGCCAGCCTATTTTGAGCTTAAAATGGAAAGTCCGAGGGATATTATGCCATATCTCCGTGCGCATCGCGGTGGTCCATATAATGGTCGAAGTTCAAAGTCTTCAGATGCAAATACAGAAATTCGACTCTTCGACGTCTATAAGTTAGGATTACCGCATAATCTCTTCGTAGATGAGAACTATACAACAATTATTAGAGGCGCACGATGGATGGGATGATCAGAAAGTACCTTTAAGCTGCTCCTTGCTTAATGAATCCTTATTCTTATCAAAATCAAAGAACTCTTCTGGAATAGGTTCCGCCGTGGGCTCATCATCGGGATCGTGGTACGGCTCGAGATAAGGGTGGCGCAGAGCTTCCTCGACGGTAATTCGTTTAACGGGGTTAAACGCCAGAAGCTTCTCGAGAAGGTCCAGGGCTAGGTCGGATGTCTTGGGGAACAAAGCCTTTAACGGTATCTTCTTCTTGAAGGGCAGTGAACGAATGTATTCCCGAGCACGACGAGATTTGATACCATAGTAATCTTCCATAGTTGGTGTTCCAAGAACATCCAGGATCAAAGTCAGCTGATGGTGATCTGTGACATCTGGTTAGTATCGAACTGTGGGATAGCACAATATGCCAGAGTATTTACAATCTTTGCCTGGAAACAATGGCTTTCCACTCAGCATTTCCGCTAGGATGCATCCAACACTCCAAACATCAATGGCCTTGGTGTACTCCTTGAAGGTCAACATAATTTCGGGGGCACGATACCATCGGGTGGCAACATATTCAGTCATAAAACCGGAATTATCATCAGTGGAAGCAGCGGAGCGTGCAAGTCCAAAGTCGCAGACTTTCAGGTCACAGTTCGCATTCAAAAGCAGGTTGGACGGTTTTAAGTCACGGTGAAGGACATTCGCAGAGTGCATAGCCTTCAAGGCACGAAGAGTTTGGTAGATAAAATATTGGCAATGGTCGTCGGATAGGTCTTGTGTACGAATAACCCGATGCATGTCGGTCTCCATAAGCTCCTACATGGCGCATCAGTAACCATATAGTCACAAACGTAGAATCAGCGAATCTTACTTGAATGAGATAAACCTCCGTGAAACTGTCATAATTTCGGGGTTTCTGAATATCTAAAATGGAAATAATATTCTCATGGTTGAAATATCGAAGGAGCTTCATTTCGCGGAGTGTTCGTAAGCAGAACATAGAGTGATCGAATGGTGTAATCTTCTTGATGGCCACCTTTTGTCCTGATGGTTTGTGTAAGGCAGAGCTGGCACCCGGTTAGAATGAAGCTCAAAAACTGGAGGCGATGCCAATTTGTCTAACCAGACCACTCCATATGCTCCTTCACCAATCACATCTTGGATATCATACTGATCCGACACATTGAAGGAGATCTTTCTCGAACCCCCTTGGGGGCCTGGTTGAACCATTTCAGTCGATTGTGGAACTGTAATCTTATAGAGCCCGTTAGTCACCAAATACAAGAGCAGAGAAGGTAGAGTCCATAAGTCCGGATGTCTGAGAATAGTTCTGTTATGTGCTGAGCCCAGTAACCGAACAAAGGGCGAAGCTGCACCAAGTATTGGTGCTTGAAGTTGTGGGGTGTAGGAGGGCATAGGAAGGAAAGAAACAATAAGGAACCATAGAACAGGCAGTGTGCATGGCAATTTAGTAGCAAAATGGTTGAAAAGCATAGACAAATGAGCATGCCTTAGACCCACAGTGTGATACGTAACAAATCACCGCTTTCAAACCTTTCAGTTCCTTTCTCCTTCTTCCAGGCAGTCCAGACACCTAAGTTGCACCGTTTTGAAATTGAAAAAGGACAATGTTTTGTGTGCTTTAAACCTCTTTTAGCCGTTAAGTAATCGCCGAGAACTGCTCTTGATCGGCACAGTATGATGTCGAAACTGAGGATACCAGACGAAAGTGCACGCGATAGTTAAAAAACAATGCTGTATGTGAAAGAATAGAGACGAAAAGAGCGGCAGGTATCCTTTGAGATTGGGAATATGAGGTGTGTTAAATCTGCTGCGAACAGGTGGTCAGCTCAGGTAAATCAGATAGATCTCCTCTGCTTTGAAGGACTCGAATAAGAATCGTCACCCCTCTCCAAAGTAACACAGTTCTCACAGTATAACAAAGGCGGGTTCTCCCAGAGATGCGAATCGGAGAGTAACACAGATCGTACCTGATGCTCAACACCAGCTCCAGTCAGATCTGAGCTTGCTTAACCCGATGTGTTATTATCCAAAAGCGGGTGTCGCCGGTAGTGTATGGACCTAATTGATACTGACGATCCATTAGACACCATGCTTCACCAGAGTAGTCCTCGTTGGGAAAGGTGGTGCGTATACTGACCTCAATCACCATGGACCGTTCCCCGCCTTGGAGCCCCTCAGCAGTAGTTAACCAGTTAAGATCCTCAAGTCGCCAGCACCACGTCTTGTTCAAGAAACAATTTCCACACGATAAATTGCGCCTGACCTCTGTTGCTCGCGAGCGTACTATCCGGAAGTTGCATGAAGGACGCAAGCAAGGTCGGAGGTGGACGTCTAAGGAACGACCCGAGTTATTGGTTTCAAGGGCCAAGTCCAAACACGCGCCGCAGTTACAGAGTGCCTTGAAGGTGGGGCAGACTTTCCAGACCTCGCACCACGAACAGCACCGGTCAAGACGTGGCGATCAGGGCGACAGAGAAGTTGAATGTGTGAAGTGCGTTCCAAATGATCACATTGAGGAGAGATGGATGCTTTCCCCCTTTTTATGGATTCCAGAACCTGGCGAAGCTCCAGTTTAAATAATAACGTTCCTTGGGCGGGATACCCGCGCGCGGGTCAGATCCAGAAAACCAACCGAACTCTCTGACGAGGCAGCATTAAATTCACCTTTTACTCCGTACTGGCTTTGCGGAAAGAGTTTGAACTGTCAACACTCCCATCCGCGTTTCAGGAGTCTAATCTCAACATTGGCTTTGTCAATTCTCCTTTCTACAAGATTTCAACCCCGGGATTTCACCATCAAATCATCTGCAGATTTTAGCCGCCGACCCTCGCACCGGCCCTCTAGGTCGTGCAGATTGTTCCCCCTTTCGCCCAATACTCTGAAACGGCGGGCTAAAATCGGGTCGCCCTATAAATACCACTGCGCGCTTAGTTGGCCTCCAGACCCAAGGATGCTTCCGCGTTGGCTGTCAGCTTCTGATATCACCAAGAATAAGGAACTGGGATGGAGGACGTCGGCCTAGGGCCAGTGAAAAGTGGTTCAACGCATTTATTATGTAATCCTGAATATGCATTTGATTGATGAAACTATTCTAAGAACATTCATTATTGAATAACCTGGAATAGCTAGAGTTAGCGACACAGACGGTCCAGACAATGAAAGGCTGAGAAAGCATACCTTGTCCCGGAGCAGGGCCATCCATTGTTGCAAGCTAAGCCCTTGGTCTGCACGATCCTCCACCAACATCGATTGTGCCCATAACCTGAGACCAGGCTCTCCATCTTCTTTGACAATGTAAAGCTGAGGCACAACAATGCTCCCCACACCGCGGCTACGGAAGTCTCGGCTCTTTTGAATAACTGCCCTTACTCTCTCGTTAAAGTCATTGTCCAGTTCAGAGAGAAATTGTTTTCCAACACGGAGCTGAGACTTGTCTGGAAATCCGAACACGTCCTGAATGAGCTGAGGAATCGCGTCTCGTCCCACCCAGAGAAATTGTGTCTGGCCATCGTCAATAAGATATAGGCCATATGGAACCAAGCGCTCAGACGAGAGGTTGCAGAGTGGCGGCAAAACAATTTCTCCCGTTTCTGGATCGGGCACTCCAGCATCATCTGGCATGTCATGAAGCGAATACATTTTAGGGTAAATGTATTGAATGAGCAGTGGAAGTGGCAATGTGGACAGCAGGCAAAGAGCGGCAGACCGCATATCGGTTGGTATCTGCGCAGATTTTCGAAGCCCAAGCTGCGAAAAAGGTTAACTGCAGGTCAGGGTACGAAGTATGACACAAACTTACATTCTTGATCAGTGCTAAGAAGAGAAGAGGCAATCCACGAAGATTCGATGGGAACTGCAAACCACCGCCGCTGACACTTCCGCCAGCAAGTTCTTTCCTATACGTTGACAATAGCTCGATGATTTTCGCTTGAACAGCATCTCGAGCCTGTTCCAGCCCACTGCTCAAGGTTCGCTCCACGGCTTTGTGACTGAAGTACGTCGCAATCGCGGTCTGGTCCGCAGCTGCATACACGTCGGCCAATGATTGAGTGGAGGGCAGAGCCAAAGTTAGAACTCTGATCCTTCGCTCGCCGTTGCATGTTGTATGCAACACGGCCGTTTGGAGGCACACAACCGATCTGTTGACGGTCTCATCGATAGCGACCTCAACGACATACGCTTGATCACGAGGGAACGCGGGGAAAGCGCAAAGATCCGAGCTTCGATTGAAAAAGTTGCCGTAAAACGTGCTCATCCTTAGACCAGTCGTTGCACGTACGCGAAGAACAGCTTCCAGACCAATTTCGGCGGAGAGGTAACTCGAGAATTCTTGAGCAAATTTAATAGCATCCTCGCTTCTAGCAGCATTCCACCCTGGATAGAAATAAGTTTGTCCGCCAGTGTACCTGGGAAGGTTGCTCAAAGAAGCAACGTCTTGATATTGCGAGGAAAACAAAAACATGTCGACGGAAATCTGTTGTTTTGAGCATTCAACGGCAAAGCTCTTGTAAAAGCTATTACCTGTTTGCAATAAACTACTTTCTTTGCTGGTACCCAAGACCTTTTTGTCCTCTCTCACTTCGAGCGCTCCATGGCCCATGTTGGGAAGTGATGCGGTTAGAACAGTGAGTTTACCTCCCACAGGGCCGATAAGCTTATGACCAGCGCGAAGTGCAGAGCCCATGGCAGATCCACCGTTCTGGGTATTCTGGAACATCTCCTGGAGCTTATCGAGGAAGATTTCAATATTCTCTCTAGACTCCGTCAACGTAACCAGGAGGTCGCCTGGAATTGGCAAGAACGGCTCATCTAAGTCACTAACAACGAGCATACTTGGATCGGAACTTTCCGAGCCGTCTCTCGGAATTGTGAAATAATGAAGACTGGAATCGACTGCGATAAAGCCGAGTCTCGTGCGACGATCCGTGTTTGGTATCCTATCCAAACTCTCCTTAATGCATCGCGCAGCGGTTGCCAACAGCCCGCTAGTAACGGAGGAGTAGCTCACATCGATCAGGAACAAATACACCAAAGGCTGTGGTGGTCGGACCATGTACTCCTGAGGGGCCACGAATTCCACAACGGCATGGTTGAGCTCAGGTCGTTGCCATCTATCAAGTGCTTGTTGCGCGTGGGTATCCCAATCAAACCCTTGTGGAGTATCATTAGTCAAGCTGCACATATTGCAACGCCAACGGTGGCCATGGTCGAGGAAGGTGACGAAGGGGTTGATATACGAGCGGCATCGTCGACATCTTGAAATAATCTGATCTGACACAACTGGGACCGGATCTTCTGCATCATGTAGAGATGTGAACGGTTGAATTACGAGCGCGAAGGGTAGTCTGGATTTCTTCAGCAGGGAATTGGTGGTCGGAACAGCATTGAGGGTGGAGCGGACGTATTTGGGCGGACAATTTGCTGTTGGAGAGGGAGTAACGCTAGCCTGGATTATTCGTTAATATGTAATCCCTCTGCCAGGTTGAGAATAGAAAACAACTCACGTTTGGCGGGAGGACAATTGGCGGCGGTATAAAATCAAGCTCTGCAACATTGAACGACTGAGCCAACAGATCCGTCGGGTAGAGCTGGGTTAATGAGACTGGTGCTGGCGCCCGGCCCTGCATCTGACCCCCCATACTCATCTGTCCCATTTGTTGTGTGATCTGGCTCATATCCCCGGCCGGAGGAACAGGATAGCCCGGTGCCGGCGGTTGATAGCCTCCCATGCTCATCTGTTCCCCCGCGGGGTATGTCTCCGGAGCTTGCTGAGCTGGTTGGCCAGGATATGGAGCCGATGGATAACCCTGCGGTTGTGGTGGCGCGGGATATCCCCCATAAGCACCACCTCCGGCCAGTTGCCCTCCCAACGCGGCATTCGCACCGGATCCGAACTCGAAGGCCTGCCCCGCATAGGCTCTCTTTTTCTTACCGCCGTGCGTAGGGCCTCCGGCTGGGTGCGTGCTGCCTTGTGGAGGTGCATTGGCTTGGGGTGCGTCGGCGGGCGGTGCGCCATACGGCTGGCCGTAGCCCTGCTGGTCATTGGGAGGTGGATAACCTCCTTGCGGCGCGGCCATCTAGAGAAGTGAAAACGGACTGAGCTGCGCAAAGGCGTACGGTGGAGGATTATGGTTTGACCGTTGTGACAAAGTCCTAGAGTTATATTCACTGGAGATTCGAGTGCAGATGTTAGGGACTCGGCATTGATTTCAGAACTGGGCAAGGGAGCTTGGGAACGCACCAGAACAGACGCGCTGACAAGCATTGAAGTGGACGGGAGATGGGAAAGAAATCTTATACACCAGAGCGCAGACTAACCATCAAGATGAAGTCAATGTGGCCTGTAGGGGGATTGTTCGGTGCAGTGTTAGCCCCGTGCTGCTTGCTGACCAGGAACAATGTCATGGTTTGTGTATGGTGGCCTTCTGCATCTTGGTGGTTGAAGCCCGCCAATCACATGACTGCGCCAATTGCTACAGCTGTCGTCACTCCAAATTCACTCTCTATTGTCATCGAACTTGATGATGATGCCGTTGATATTGACATGCCAGTGGTAGACACGGCCCAGCAAGCGCAAATTGATACCAGCTATGCAGAGAAATGCCATCGACAGTAAAACTTCTAACACACATGCACCAAAACACCTTCGCTTCACTGAACTCCAGGCGCAAAAACAAGATCACTATCCCAAGCTCAGGCAACTTCGATCCCATTCCGCATATTCTCCACTGTCCTCAACCCGACACCTTTCAGCTTCCCTAGCTCCGCCAAATTGCGGATTTGAACCGACTCCTCACCTGGGGAGCCGTTTGTATCCATCTCGCAGAGGCAGTCAACAATGGCTTCTGCCTTCTTTGCCCCAACACCTCGAAGCAACTTGATTTGGTTTACATTCCTCGAATTAATAACGGAAAGAATATGTGATGTTCGCGGCGACAAGCATGTAGCATCGCTCCCACTGAAGACTGGTTTTGCGGAGGGGCATTTTTGCGCTGGGCCTTTGCGGTTCTTCGGTTTGGGACGTGAGTAGCTCTGTAAATCACCTTCGTCGTCGCTTAAGCAATCATTTCCGTCTGAAGCATGGTACTCATCATCACCATAATCATCATCATTTTCGGTGCTCTCTCGAGCAAATCGCCGTCGCTTTTTCCGGCTTTGTTGTTGGGCTTCCGCTGCCCCAACCGTTGCTCGACCTTGATCTCCCTGCCCATCTAGCCTAGCTTGTAGAAGCTCTATCTTCTGCACCAACTTTGCGTTGTCCGGGAAGTAAGGAAGTGCCAACTGATACATCTTTAATGCTGACCTGTCTTCGCCGTGAGACTGATGTTGTTTGCCCATCAGAAGGTATGATAAGCCCTCAGCCCGCGCATCTTCCTTTCCTTCCACCCGTTGCTCGAGGCGTTCAAGCCGACGCTGCAGCTGCGTATTTACGTCGTTTGCATGCGTGCTTAAAGTTGCCTGAGTTGCTTCAGCTTCATTTAAAGCCCTTGCCGCTAAGATCTCTTCCACCTTTTTTTCAACCATCTCCTCGATTTTCGCCGCAGAAACACTGTGTACTGCCTGCGCGGTCCGGGCTTGCGCCTCCGTGGAAACACGTGCTAGCTTCGAGGTTCGACTCAAGGAAGGGAAATTGCTTCCAGACTTTCGTTTTAAGGCAGGGCCCTTGGGCTGCTCAACTTGAGCATGCTGCTTCGCTTGTGCTTTGTCTGTATAAACCATGAAGGATTTGGCAGGTTTACCATCAGGTGGCTTTGAATCTGCACTCGCAGTCACTGGTACGATATTCGCATTAATCGAAGCTGTCAACGGTCGCAACGGCTGCCTTTTGATGGAAGATCCTTTTACAGATAAACCCGAGGCAAGGCGTGGTGGCCCTTTGAAAATTGGTTCGTTCTCTACTTCCCTTACTTCAATTTTCCTTGTACGGTTCGCGAAATTTAAAGAACTTAACGTATCCAGGTGATATGAGCGAACCGGTGCAAGGTTGAGTATCATGACGGTGAGCCCTTGATTCTGGCCAAGGGATAGGATTCTGGTCATTTTGGATTCCCGGTAGGGTATTCTCGCCTGCTTCTTACTGATCGCCTCTACGCACTGGGCTAGAACGAACAAGCTTTTGTTGATGCTCGCCGATTCGACCATACGCTCCTTGCCGTTGTCCGTTCGTCGGTTATCCTCCGAACCTGCAAGGTCAATGGCGGATGCGGTGCTAACACGAACACGGTCTGGGGTCGTAACCGTCAGCTTGACGCATAAGATTGCATGGGATCTCGAGGAGTGAGCGTTCAGCTATTCATCACAAATGACAAGTCAGTCGCCTCCCAAACGGTTCTCCACTATCAGAGCTGCAGTCACAGTTACACACCTTCGTAGCAGAAGTCGACCTGTTCACATTGGCCAGGTCATACATAATCTCAAATTCTTTAAGGGAACCGCAGGGTCGTTCCGTTAGTCCAACGACAACGGTTTTGCCCCCGCTGTCTCTAAGTGGGAGGCCAGAAGCGGTCCTTTTCTCTGGCGGCTCAAAAAGGTCAAAGACCTTGTCGTTGTATATTTCATAGTAGCTCATAGCTACGTCCACCTTTGTAGCACCTTGGGAATCTTTCTCCATTTTTCTGCTTCTTCTATATATGCCGCTCAATAGTCGAGGTATCACACCTCTTTCCGCTAGACTCTTTCCTCCACGCATTGTATGAGTCTTGCCCGTACCAGTTACCCCGTAGGCAAAGAGGGTAATGTCAAAGCCGGCAAAAAGGTGTTTTATAGTCGGAGCCACTAAATTATCACGACATATCGAGTTAGCTACCACTGTTCTTCTTCACGCCAGCTCATTAACCCTAGTCTGGTATACCTTCAGCATCGAAAAACTCCTGTTGACCCACGGCATCGTCATAAACCCCGTTGAACTGAAAACTATATTGCTCTCCCTCGTTTTTCGGGTTCGGTATGCGCACAACAGTCGGTCGATTGCAGATATCCTTCTGCTTCTTCTCGGCTTTTTCGCATTTTTGCGACCTCGAAACATTTTCATCCGAAGGTTTCGCGACCGATGCCGAAACCAGGTTGGCACATGACCCGGGACGGACGATGATATCGATTTCACGCTCCGTTTTCAGGAGCGGTCGAATTCGGGCCACCACTCTGACGCTCATGTTGTTGGTGTTCGGCGCTTGCTGCAGGTGCAAATGGGTGAATACCAAGCACGCTGCCACCTAAATCTGACTGTGTCGTTCTCTCGTCCGATTTCCACCTCACTTCTAAAAGTCCTCAAAACAAAACGGCTTTCTTGAACAAAAATGCAATATCACGAAATCCGATCTTTAGGCTCTAACTGACGCAACACGCCAAGGGGCAATAGAGAAAACGTCTACGAAAGAAATCGCAGGACAAATAATTCCAGGGAGTAAAAAGCGCCCGCAATGCGATTGAAGCTCTAGGTCTGCAGAACCATAAACTCGACTGATGCAAATGTCACGCTGTGCGAAATGCGAAAATGCAAAAGTACACGCAAGAAGGAACAGGAGAAATGAAGAAACAAGAAAAAGCCTTTCACCTAGCACTGCTGCGCTGTGACTTACCTTTAGACTCGGGACGCCTTGATGCTCCGCTGGCCGTTGATTTCAGATTTCCAATCAAGTGGTTGATGTTAGGCTGAGAGACGAGAATCGCAGTTGGCAAGGCAACCGAACGAGGTCGCATTATGTAATCAGATTTCCACCAATCTTACTTGCTTCCTGCGAATGCGCTGGAGCGAAGAGTCAGGAAATGAGACTCGGGGGTGTCTACTCTTTTCTCTCAATACTCCAGAACTGGACTTGGCTTGTAGCTTTTTATCGACAAGTAGCCCGTCCTACCTTCTGGGGACCGAATAACGGTGTCCGGCCCCATACTAACTTATACTGTATGATTGCAGAAGTTGAAAAGTCCCCTCAAGTAGCCACCTATTTTGAGCCGGCACCTTGTGCAGCAAGATGGATATAGGGAGAATGTATCAATAATGTCTCAAGTGGTTTCAGATACATTCATTTTACAAATTTGTCAGTTCTTGCTTATCTATTTCCTTAGTGTCTAACACACGAACCTGATAACTAGCTTAAGGTAATCGAAAAATACCTATATAACTGGCTGACCTCAACGCCAGAATATAGAAGAATCGAACAAGTCTTTTCAAATCCAAGCACTCCTACATTTGAGGAAGTCTTGCCTTGCTTCACATTAAACCTTCGTCTTACAGTCATAAGCCCGGGTGCTTTCAGATTCGCTTGTTATTTCACTTGAAGTTCCTAATCTATACGCGGAATTTCCCATAAGGTATATTCCGCTGATTCGCCGATCTGACGATTTTCCACCCTTTATAACTACCCAACCGGATCTTGAAAAAGACAATCAAACGTACGATCAACCTACTACACGATCAGCCTACCAAACGAACGTTAGAACGAACAGTAGAACAATCAAACGAGCGAACGTACGAGCAGCAATGGGCACTATACTGAGATCCCATCAGGATTGGGTGCAATGGATTGCCCAAATCAAGCTCAAGGCCGTATCCTTAAATATTTGGGAATATATGGATCCGAATGAAGAGCCAAAGATCCTCAAAGAGCCTGAAGATTGACCGAAGAGCAGTTTAAGGACCCGAGAAATCTCATCTTATGGAAAAGGGACTGGAAGCTCTATGAGCAAAGGGAACAGGCTCTTCTTGACATTATTCTATACATGCAGGAGCGAATTTCACCAATTATCATTACATCTGTCATTGCCGAAACAGATCCTAGAGAATGCCTTGTTATCTTGAAGCTCAGATGCTCTCCATCTGATGCTGAGAGAGAACGGGAAGTTCAAAAGGAATATGACAATCTTCTTAAGGGTCCCAAGTGTTCAAATATTGAGGTTTATATTCAAAGATGGATTATGGTTGTTGAACAAATCCGCAAGCTCAATATGAATATCAGTGAAGAATCCATGGCTCGACGGTTCCTAGATTTGATACGGAAGATCAACCCTGAATTCTCGAATTCTAAAGTATTGGCAAATATAAGGAGAGAACGGAAAGGAAGGAAGCCTTATGGCATTATGGAAATCCTGGAGCGCTACCGTATATATCGACAGATTCGCCCTGACGAGCCGAATTCACACATGATGTTGAGGCGGTAACGAGGCCTGTGAGAAGCATTGGTCCGTAAAACAAGTTTGAATGAGATAGCATGGACTCGCTCGCTAGAGCGGACGTTAGAAAATAAGTGTTTTTAATTAGTTGACTTGCAGCGAGTCTCTGTTGGCGCTTGTAACCAAGTTTGCACATAAATCTTGGTTATGAGCATACATCATAGGATATCAATCTCTTTTGATAGAACATTGGGCCACACCGGATCGCTACAGTTTCGTTATTCGCCCCTTTATCTAAGATGATTTCTCTGTCAATCATCGCCGGCCTTTCTGAATTCGACGTTGCCGTCTCGTCGGACCGCAGCGAAGGTTTGACCAACAGTTTTCATCTCATCTTCCTTGGGTGGTGGAGGCAAGTCTTTCTCAAGTCGCTCCTGCACAACATCTATTGCTTCTCTCGTAACACCTGGCTGTGCATCCGCGATTTCATTTACTTCTTGGGCAGTGAGGGAATCGTTTATTCGAGATGCTCGCGTCTGAATGAGAATAGTTGCTGGTCCTTCGAATTGTAGGAATAACTATGTTGCAGTAAGTCTCCAAATCTGTGGTTATAACGATGTAATGGGAAGAGGGTCATACCCGATCACCCCAAATAGTCCTTCTAGCCCACGTCCGAACTGTATGGAAAATCCTCATTGTCGCTTTCCAGGTATCTGAATTGGCCAAATTATTTAAAAACTTGGATTTCACCAACAAGCCACTTGTGCCTAGATTTGGGACCTGAAACTTGAGAGACGTAGATTTGAACCGAAATGGGCGAGGCCAGTGGGATCTGATAGTATACGCGACGACATTGCTAGAATACTAGTAAGACAATAGTTCATAACCCGTTGATGCCTAGCTTACCTTGGGTGAGCAACGTATTGCTCTCCGGCCTTCAAATTAATTGAATAGACCTGGCCCTTCCCAACCAGAGCTAACAAACCTCGTCCAGTCACCTTTGAACTACCCCAATGGACCAAACTCTTCAGGAGTCAGTACCCAGGGGAACATGAAGAAAAGTCTTCAGGCGCACATACTAATTCCCTGTTTAGTGTAGGCTTCACGCTTAAGGCATGTCCCGTCCAGGCGAGTAAACCATCGCGCTGCGTAACCATCCAATCCACGGTACCATCCAATTGAACGACGGAGAACGACGTTATAGGGGAACGGACGGATATAAGGGCATTGACTGGACTGGCAGAAGATATCTAACGGAAAGAGACCGTTAAACTTTCATGTATTCTTCGAGTTGAGTATGCACCAACCTTTTGGTAGAGGAAAGGGATTCGGAGGGCGGCGCGTCTGAAGGGCTCGAGTAGCCTGAGAGTAGAGACGACCTTCGCAACATAAATAAGTACGGATTTTGCAATGGCAATGAAGAAGTACGGGGGTACATTTTCTGCTTTCCCATTTAATCCAACAAGAGTACCGCGCCTCGTATATAGATTCTGGGACGCTGAAAGGGAGACAGAGAGAAGGGAATACGGCGAGCCGAGGACTTCAAACTTTGCGTCTTGAAACCACTAATTAGCCTTTGACAGGGAAAGCAGAAGGCGTAGGATACTAACCTGGTGATATTACAGAACTTGAAATCGTGGTAGCAGGAAGATTGCGGTTGGGGAGAGTATTGGGATCAACTGAGACGGCTTGGATAGAGGCCCATCTTCGCGTCGAGGAAACCTCAATTGGCCTCCATTGTCCAAACTTACAGGCAGAAGGCCTCAAGCCTCTCCTGACACAACAATTGATGGGCTCCATATAGATATCATTTGCTTTTCCGTTGCCAGCTCCATTCGACTTGCCATGAGCCTGGGTTCTGGGAGAAGCTTTTGGGAAGTGGAAGCAAACAGAACAAACACATCAACTTGCGGATCAGATAACCATCCCGATTCCACAGCCTGGAAATCTATTTGCAAAAGGCCTCAACTTGCGGACTTCTTTTACAAGGCAGGCTGTTGCTTTCAAAAGGTATAGTTATGCTATGCGGCAAGAGCCTTAGCAAAAAATTGCCTATCATTTGACCGCCTTACGTCCTTCACACCCGCTGCATTCGCTCCAACAGCCGATCCATTGTCCCCGCGCTACACACTATCGGAGCTTTCTGCACATCATAATGGCACGGTAGGGGAGGACCGTCATTCCTGTGGTAGCAGAAGCTCAATCCTCGTTCAAAATGCTGCTCCGAACGGCACGATGTGCGCACCGCTTCGCAAGCACCCAGCCTCCCAGATGCCACCTTCCTCGCTCCGGGCCGCCACACAAGTCATATCCCCGCATCAGAGATCAGACCAGGATATTCACTACTCGAGGCGGGTCCTTGAATACGCAAAATGAGAAGGCTTCAAATGCGGCCGTAAAAACACAAGGAGCTGCAGGTCATGGGATTACGGAAAAAGAGCCTGGGGCTTCTACGAAGCCGCCAAATAAGAAGCCAGGCCTCCTTAGCGAGGCTGCAATGACTAGACAAGAGCAGCGGAAGGCGGATTGGGCGATTATGAAAGAAATGTCGAAGTATCTGTGGCCTAAAGTACGCGCGCTCCTACGTTTCCCATTTCTCCGCTGATCGATCCAATTTAGGACGACTGGGGAACGAAACTCCGTGTTGGGGTCGCGCTATCACTATTAATTGGAGGCAAAGTATGTAAACGTACATCTTCTTGTTTCAAGGTATTGTGGCTTATTTCTCGGTAGGTGCTGAATGTCAACGTTCCTTTCTACTTCAAACAAATCGTAGACTCCATGAATATCGATTTTGCAGCACTCGGGGGTACCGCGTGGACAGTGGCGGGCTCTATGATCGTGGCATGTAGGCCTATCCATCCTTATGCATACTTTTCTAAGCCGTAACTGATGACGAACATAATCATAGATGGTGCGACGAGGATAGGGGCAACTGTATTTCAGGAGCTTCGAAATGCTGTATTTGCCGGCGTGGCACAGAAGGCGATCAGAAAGGTTGCTCGAAATGTTTTCAATCACCTGCTTCGCCTAGACCTTAATTTTCACCTAAGCCGGCAAACAGGAGGTCTCACCCGTGCTATTGATAGAGGTACGAAAGGAATTAGCTTCCTACTCACCTCTATGGTATTTCACGTATTCCCTACCTTCTTGGAAATATCTATGGTCTGCGGAATATTGGTGCGCCGTACCCTGTTAAATGTATACATTCTCGAAGCGTGGACTAACTGGTGCAGAGCTATCAATATGGGCCCAAGTTTGCAGCGGTCACAGCTGCAACTATGGTGGCATATTCGGCGTTCACAATTACTACTACCGCATGGCGTACTAAATTTCGAAAGCAAGCAAACGCCGCAGATAACCAAGGAGCTACTGTCGCAGTCGATTCTTTGATCAACTACGAAGCTGTCAAATACTTCAACAATGAGCAATTCGAAGTGGCCAGATACGACAAAGCTCTCAAGGCCTATCAACATGCGTCGATTAAAGTCACCACATCCCTTGCTTTTCTTAACTCCGGCCAAAATATAATCTTTTCGAGCGCTCTTGCGGCGATGATGTACTTTGGCGCCCACGGAGTAGCGACTAGTGCATTAACGGTGGGGGACCTTGTGATGATAAACCAGTTGGTATTCCAGCTGTCTGTTCCATTGAATTTCCTAGGTTCAGTGTACCGAGAGCTTAGGCAGTCGCTACTGGATATGGAGACGCTTTTCAATCTCCAGAAGGTCAATGTCAATATAAAAGAGCTGCCGAATGCAAAGCCATTGCAGTTAAGACAGGGCGGAGAGATCAGATTTGAGAATGTCACATTTGGCTATCATCCAGAACGAACCGTTTTGAAGAACGTTAGCTTCACCATTCCCGCAGGGGAAAAATTCGCCATCGTTGGCCCCAGCGGATGTGGTAAATCTACGATTCTACGACTTTTGTTTCGATTCTACGACGTGCAAGGAGGTCGTATCCTGATTGATGGGCAAGACATACGAGATATTACGCTGGAGAGTTTGCGGAAGTCGATTGGCGTCGTTCCTCAGGACACTCCGCTATTCAACAATACTATTGAGCATAACATCCGCTACGGTCGAATTGATGCGACGAGGGAGGAGGTGCGAGAAGCGGCGCAACGAGCACACATTCACGAATTGATCGAACGACTACCGGCTGGTTATGACACTCCCGTGGGTGAGCGTGGAATGATGATATCTGGCGGAGAAAAGCAGCGGCTAGCTATTTCTCGCTTAATTCTAAAGAATCCGCCACTGCTGTTCTTTGATGAAGCGGTGGGTGTCTCCTCAACTTACGTGAGCATAAGCTTTTTTACTGACAGTTATACCCGTCTTATTAGACATCTGCGTTGGATACATACACAGAGCAAGCACTTCTCCTGAATATCAACAGCATCCTCAAGGACCAAGCACGAACCAGTGTCTTTGTGGCCCATCGGCTGCGAACGATATACGATAGCGACCGGATCTTGGTCTTGAAGGATGGCCAGGTCGCCGAGATTGGAACTCACTCCCAGCTTTTGGACAAAGGTGCCGTATATGCGGAGCTATGGAATGGTAGGTCATACTAGGTTTCCGCCGAGGTCTTTTGCTAACTTGAGGTGCAACAGCCCAAGAGACGTCGCTAGCGCGGGACCCAGAACGCGAAAGGGAACTTGAGATTGAAGAGATCGAGGAAGAAAAGAAGCTGGAACAGGGAGTCGGCGAAAAGAGCCCTTCTTCACAACCGCAGCCGCCATCTCGCGATCCGCCAATTCCACATTGATTAAGCACACGGTTAAAAGTCATGCATATGTGTAAAAAATGTTCCCATTGTTTGGATATAGAATTTTTCCGGTTCCTGGCTTTGGATTAATCACAAATTGTTGATAGACGGAGGGCCCTGGGTCAAGCAGCATTGTCGGTTGGAGAAAGCTTTAAAAATAGAAAAAGTGAAGGGATTTCCACGCAGTGCCACGTTCCTTTGCCTGCAACCCTGGTTGATGTCGCAGAGAATTTCCCTGATCCTAGTAGTTAACTATGGCTTAATGAGCACGAACCCAGTTCACACCACTACCGCATCGCTAACTACGGAGAAGTTAGGGACCGAACAAGGGATAGACTAGCAGGTGCGACGGAGATATTCCTTTGGCTTGAGAAAATGGGAGAAAATAACCAACATCACTCAAACCTTGCCCGCGCAGTTTTGAGAGACTATCCTGATGGATGTGACACCAACCGAGCGAGCGGAAAGTAGGTTTGCACTCGATGCCGGGCTTGACTTGGCTGCTATCAGGAACCGCATGTTGATTGGCAGCATTTGGGCCGACCGCGATGGGGTGTTGCAGCAACCCTGCAGAACACGATTCGAGCGTGCTTTAGGGCTGCAACGAGAACATTCCAATCACACGGGTAGCGGTGTGGTTGGGAAGAGGGCAACTGTTTGCTCTTCAGAGGCGCCAACTAACTGGTTACTGGCTGGCCAGCGCTCCCTTTGCTCGTTAAAATGAAACAGACTTGCGCAGCGTAGAGCAGAGGGGCCTAAAGCCTAGCCGAACACCCAGGGCAACTCGCCCGATCTGGGGCTTGGGGGTCTTAACTAAATTTAGTTAAAGCCTTACCTAAAGGCGCCGTTAGCGCCCCCCTAGCCAACGAAACCCCCGCAAGGTTCGGTCTTTTTTCCCGTCCAAATTGTCCAGGCCAGTCCCTCCCTCTTCTCTCCTTCGTCTAACTACTCGATAACATCTCCATTAACTACCACACACCGGGCATTCCTTTCCGTTGACGTTTTTCCTTTCGGCTCTATTTTATTCATTCACTCGCTCTATCAACCAATTGTCAACCTAAAAACCATCCTTTAATCTCACTTTCCTTCTCGTCCTATGGCATAGTTCCAGGGAGAAACTCTGCTTATCCCAACGGTCCCAGCGAAGCCGAACTGCCCGTTGACCACTTCCCAACCGGCGAAAGCACATTGCTCGTCCCTTTGGGCTGTATCAGCTTTTCATTTCATGATTGATTCGGCTACTCGCACCGCTATCACTGCCTCTATACTGCGTTTAACCGGCCTGTCCGACCGCGTCATCTGTACTGAGGTCGTCATCTGTGCGACTGAATGACCGCCCAAACAATCGTTTCGATATACATACTTGCAAAAGCCACTCAAACACAACCGCAACTATGAGTCTGCTTGACAAACTCCATGCCAGTACGTCACTCTGCCGCAGTACAATGCTCAAGGAGCCCCCCCATGATGGTCCGTTTCAGTTCTAACATGCATCCTTCCCTCTATAGAGCTGGAGCTTTACCGCCTCGAGCAGCGATATGCCCGGCGCAAGAACCGGAATACTTTTACCACCGGTGCCACGTACGTCGATGGTGAATACGTCTATTCCAACAGCACAGGCTCGTCATCGCCATCATCCTCCTCCTCGATCCCGACGGTGTCCAAACATGGCACCGGCTCAAGATGGAAGTCGTCGAGCAAATTTCGATGGAGATAAAGTGAGATTTACAGAGAAATGCTATATAAATTAATATAAAGGTAACTTTTGGAAATTGAATCGATATATGGCCCGGATAATACACCGGATACGTATAGACTAGTCGAGCAGGCGGCAAGGCGCAGGAAAAAAAACCCCATCAACTGATTTCCGTTTCTGTTGTCGCTCATGTCTATCTACAGGGGCCTATTTGTCAGGTTGGGTAGGGCTATTTAATGGCTTTATGGGATACATATTTCTAAAACTTCTTTGCCACCTCTTTGTTACATACTTTAATGTATATATCTCCTCCCTCTGGCGACAAACAACTTGCTGCCTATGCAGACATGCCTGTGCCAAGGAGGATTTCAATGAATGTTGATGAGTATAATTACTGATATTGCATGTTTAAAAGTTTGGATTTTGCAAATCATCCAGCGTCGCTGAAACATTGCACCTATCAAAAAGGGTATGTAAAACGTATTCACGCTCTGAAACAGCTGGAACATATGCAATGCACGTCCTTTACAAGCTCACTTTTTCAACTTCCTCTGCCCAATACCACTCAACCGACCAAAATTCCCTAATGATGCCCTCGCTTTGTGCCCCGGCCCTTTTGCTACACCCGCATCGCCAGGACGAGGCCCGGGACTAGAGCCGGTGACAGATATCTCAGGCAACGTTTTGTCCCTGCCACCGTTTGAGTCACCCGCAGAAGACTGGTTCGGCCCATACTTATCCGAATCAAACTCTCGCTGTGCTAACCCTCGCGAGCGTTTGGATCTTTCCTGCACAGTTTTGAATTTGTCCAATAGATCAGCCCATCGGATTACGCTTTCCTCTCGTTTGAGTCTTCCTGTCGGCCGCTCGTAACCTAATGACGGGGCTCCACCGATTCCGGGCCTAGGGGGTGGGGAAGTTAGCAAATTCCCGTATTCTAGATGATAAAGATGCCAACACTCGACATCTAAAAAGGTACGTACGTTCTAGGAACATTATGGAACAGTCCAATATTGCTCACGCTGTTGAGCCGGTTTTTAAGAGCTGCAAAAGCTGAGCTTTGTGGCAGGAGCATGAGAACTCCATAAAGGCATTTGTAAAGATAGGGGTATTTTTCAGGTTCGAGCAACTGAAGGCGAAGGTCTGAACGATGCAATCAGCCAAAAGTCCATAATAAATACATCCAGATCAAGAGGTCATCTTGGAACACTAACATGTAAAGACCGGGGACTCTAGAAGCTGCACCAGCTTATCGATTTGGATAAGCATGTTGACCGTCATCTCTAGTTCCGCGCTGCAACAAAGTGTCAGAAGAAAAGTCATTCGGACTTAGAGTATTGGTTTTCATACAAGACCTGAAGTAGATGATATGCTTGCTCGTACGCCTGAGCTAGTAAGCATAGAGAAAAAGTCGATACAGCATTGTGGCACCATGAGCGGAATAGGGCCATGAAGAGTGTTTGGCCCTCCTAGCAAACATTAGGTAAAATATGGGTTAATAGAACGGCAACTGACAAACCTTGCTCTCCAGATTTCGAAGTCGCTTTCTCAGATCTGCCAATTCTGGTGCTGTAATGAGGTTGTTATTGAGGTTCTGGACCATAATACTGGCAAATTCAATGTCCTTGATGTAGTTAGCTGAAGTTCAACGCTGTAAGTAAAGAGAGGAAGGAAGAAACGGACTTCTTCTTTTTCCAGGCAATCTGCTAGAGTTTTGTAGATTCGCTCAGGGTTAAGATTCATACACAATTGCCTGATGATAAGATTGCCCCGAACTTCAAGAAGCTTTCGGTCTGTAGAGAACAGTTGCAATAAGTCCACCATGAAAGAGGTGAAGTAACTATCCTCGCTGTTCCTTGAAATTTGGGAAAGCAACTGAAGATCCCGCGTCACCACTGCTTCAGCTGGGTCCGAGAGAGTTTTAAGCAGAGCTGGAAATGTTCCATCATGAAAAGCTAACACTTTTCGGGGAGCTTTTTGGTGTAACATTATGAGCCATGTAAGGGCGGCAACTCTTGTTGCTTCGTTCTCGTTAAGAAATTGGAGGGTCAACACGTTAACAGCTGCAGCATAATCAAGGTCTGCTGCTTCGTGCTGTTCAGTGTTTTGTGTTGCTAGTTCAACTGATTGGGGGCGCGAAAGTTGTTGTGCTGGAATTGTATCCGGTGGTTTCCTAGTGGTGTTTGATACTAGGCGTTCATTTGTATCTTTGGAATTCATTGTGGAAGTTCGCTGGGGTGGCGTCATCCGACTTTCGTTGGTGGCATCTTCCGGCAGAGATACAATGTATTGCATAAGGGAATTATTCACGCGACTAGCTGCCTGACATACCTGCTCTGATCCGCTCGACAGCGCCGGGAGAACTTGAGAGAGCAGCCGGGGAACGAATTGAAGTATATCCCCTGGGCTTATTTCGAAGAAGCTGTCGATCCAGCGTAGCGCTGTCAACTGTATCTCCTCATCTATTGAAAACGTAAGTATGCGATGCTTCCAGGGGGATATAAGAGAGAGGGAGTCCAACGTATACCAAAGGCAGTGTCAACATAGCCGACCAGAATCTCCAGGATTTTGGGATGGTCAACATGAATGTCTTGCCCGGGAACCCAATCTCCGTAGATGTTGATACTCTGGTCTTCATTCACTGTGCCTGACTCCGAATCCGCAATCGCATTTTCACTGGGTCCATTTACATCGCTCCGCTCTGAGTTTACACTCACACTGTCCGTCGTAATGGAATCTTTGGACTCACCGGTATCTCGATCGCGGCGGCTATCGGCGATACCCTTCTTAATTCGGGCAATCTTCTTAATTTCCCCAAGAAACCTTTCGAGGAGGCCCTGAGTGGCCGTATGAACATCCCTATTTGGATCGCTAAGAAAGTTGAACAGGCCCGCTAAGAACGCAGGTAAATAGGTAACTAGCTCAAGATCGGGTATCATATCCAGTAACGTCAACCAAGAAACCAAGAAGTTGCGCGTAAAGGGACTATTGACGTGAATCCGTTCCTTGAGAAGCGGGATAAATCTTGCGAGTGAAAACGCCGTCGGAGACTCCAGTTCCTCATTGCCCTCTTCGTCTTTGGAGGGGGCTTCTAACATTGAAACATACGAGGCAGCCGAATCAGCCACGATGTCTTTTACTAATCGATCGAGCAGCTCAGCGCCGTTCTTCACGGAGAGTTCGGTATCCGAAGCTAGCTAGACGCACAAACCACTTTGTTAATGTCACCGCAGCCACTTGCACTCAAGGCCGCAATACTCACTTTGCACAAAGCGTCGAAAATATCATTAAAATAAAGTAAAATTTCGCCTTTGGCCACTTTCGCAATGTTGTACATGCTCTCGCAAGCGTAGTATCTAACTCGAGCATCCTGGCAGGTAAAGCATGCTAGGACAGGGGGAACGATGGATGTCAAATAGGGTGCAACTTCTTCCTAACCATTCAATCAGTTCCAATATTCACACCTTGTGTCCTTCCGTTGATTTATGATGCTAAAACTCACTGATCCTAGGGCAATGGCCGCTGCAGCCAACCCTATCAGCCCTCCATTCCTCGCATGTGGTTGATGAACAGCATACGCATAGTCGCGGCAGAGCTGATCGATTATGCCTTTGATCCTAGCATGGTCTCCCTTCGCGACGGACTCTCGAATCACTCTCTCGAGCCTAAAGACTTGACATCAGTTAAGCGATCGGCCAAATGACGGCTCTGGGAGGATATCTCACTCTAGTGCCCCTTGCTTTCGCTTGTCATAGAGTTTATCGTTTAAGAATCGCTGAATAGCTGGATCTACGTAAATTGCTGTTGCCATGGCTTAGAGTAGTATCTCATAGCTTCAATTTTCTGCAAAGTTCATTATTATTAGAGCGGTTGGCGGTGACCTTCAGGCACAACGAGGTTGGTGAGCAGTGAGCTGCTAGTCAACGAAGGCGTGGAGTTTAAGGTAGGTCTCAAGAAGTCAGCAAAGCTTGAACAAATGCACTGGTCATGACTTGTGAGAAATAGGGCCCTCATGTGAGCTCTTGTTGAATTAAAAATGATGTGATCTTGCGGTTTGTCGTCGATTTCGGAGGTGCATCTCAACAACCAAAAGCTAGTCAGCTTGTGGCGTGACGTAACTTGACACTATTATTAACAATAAACCTGGGGAAGGCCAGGCGCTGAGAATAACACATTTTCACTTTAAGAAGTGGAATACAATGCTCAAATACAGTGATTATATCTGCATTCAGAATGGATACTATCTAGCCTTCAAGTTCTGGTCGAGAATGTCGATATCAATTCTTCGCGGCGCTGTCAAAAAGATACATGGTCTCCACGAGAATATCTAAAGCCTGCTAAAATCAATGACTGATATACTGGAAAACCGCACTGACGACTTTTTCAGACGCCTCTTGTCTCAATAATAGATCTTGAATCCTGTTCATGGCGCCTTTCTCCCCGTCGTTGACAAAATGATTCCAAGTGCTCGTGTCACCGTAAAGCATTGCCGGAGCCTTGATAAACTGGGTTCCATCAGGACGGCATCGTTTACATTTGAACGTGTCGTGCGTGTCACTGGTCGTCTGCGGTTTGAACTGAAATAGTTCGCGCAAGGAACCCAAGCTGAAATGACGCTCGACGTCCTCTGCTGAATCCACGACACAGGATGATAGCAATTGCTTGTGGGACTGTCTCTGAAAAATCTTCTCCTCGATACTTCCGGTCGCTATAAATCTGTACACAAAACAGTCTTTCTTTTGGCCGTCACGCCAGACACGAGCAAGCGCTTGTTGATCTGCAGCTGGGTTCCAATCCGGATCAAACAAGACAAGGCGGTTGGCCCCGACCAAATTGATACCACAACCGCCAGCTTTGCTGCTAAGTAAAAACACGAATTCTTCCCCATTTGGATCGTTAAATTTATCGACCAATTTCTGGCGCTTTTTCACGTTCATTGTGCCATCAAGGCGCAGACTTCCGTATCCACGGGACCGACAAAGTCTCTCAAAAAGGTCCAAAGTCTGCGTATAGTTGCTAATCAAAACGATTTTATCATTAGTATCCTGGCGTATGCGTGCGAGCATGCGATCCAATACCATCATCTTTCCTGAATACCATGATTTTACGTCGCGATCGCGACCTCGGCCTTCAGGCGGGACAAAATCATCTGGGAAAAACTGTTCACATCCGGGAAGGTCTGCGGACAAGTTCAAAAGATCGGGGTGATTGCAGAGCTTTTTCAAGATGCCAATGGCTTTCAACGGCTGGCTTCCCTTTCCGCGAAGTAGACTCTTAATATCGGGGCTTTGGATGAAGTGATTATACAGGTCGACCTGGAACGGCGCCAAGTTGCAAAAAACGACGTGCTCATACTTGACCGGCAAGTATTTGGAGAGAATATCATTAGACCGTCGAATGATGAACTTGTTCACAATGCCCAAAAGTTCTGCCAAACACTCATCGCCTTTCTTCCTCTCTTCTTCTGTGCCGTCGGCATCCCTACCGCGAAGAATGGGCATCTCAAATCGTTTATGGAATTCAGACCGGCTCCCAAGGAGGCCGGGGTTAGTGAAATTTAGGAGAGAGTAGTACTCGGACAAATCGTTTTGGATTGGCGTTCCGGAGAGGAGCACACGGCGTGCCACGTTTAAGCCGTTTAACGCGGTAAAGGTTTGACTATCCCCGTTTTTCAAACGATGGCCCTCATCGCATAATAAGAGGCCAATTGGGGTCTCTGCAAGTTCTCCGACATTGAGTCGAAGTGTCTCATACGACACAATCAAAACAGGCCGTACTACTTGCCGTCCAGAAGCAATTGCCCATTGTCGAAGTTGGAGGGTGAGCTCTGCTTTCGAGGCCTTTCCGTCAATCACGAAAGGATGGATGGCATCTTTTCCGAGCCATTTCACTAACTCATTGGCCCAGTTCCCTACTAAGGTCGCCGGGCAAGCAATCACAACTTTTTGAAGAGTGGACTTGCCAGCTTCAGCTGACTGCTTAAGAAGGGTCCATAATAGTGTAATGCATTGAAGCTTGCATATGATTAGCACTCAACGAGGACACTACAGACAGGGTAACATACCGTTTTGCCGAGACCCATTTCGTCAGCCATGATACAACCGTGTGCATTTGGGTCTACCAACCCAGTGGTGCAACGGTAAAGGAACTATCATGGTCAGCAGCTGAGATCAAAGAAGGCTGAAGCAATGGTACACACCTTGACACCTTCGACCTGATGGGGCCGAAGTACTTTGGCAAGTTTTGGGTCAATAACCACAGGAACCTTTGGCCTTTCTTCGACATTCTTTTTAATACCCAGAATTTCAGCCAGGCTTTTATGGATGAGCGGCTCATCTAGCTTGGGTTTTGAGGGTTCCTCATCTTTTTTCTGGTCATTTCCCTGTTTGACTTCTGGCTTCTCATCAACAGTAGGGTCATAAAGAACAATAGAAAATTCTCCGCTTGGATCATGAAGAGGTTTGACGACGAATGTGGCACCCCTTCTCATTCCTAGAATTGGTGCCGAGCGTCCCGAATCATAACTGGATGAATTTTTATTAAGCAGCGGAATTGAAAAGTGCTGCTTGAAGATTTGTTCTTTATCCTTAACCTTATATACGGGAAATTTGTTGATATCACGATTGGCGAGTGGAATCCGATCCTCACTGATCCACGCCGGGTTGTCATTGTCATTCGTGCTGCCGTCAGCCTCTGCATAGTTAACTTTTCGTCGTTTTCTCAAAGGCTTATCTGAAGCTCGAGTCCTCAACGCCGAGCCAGGACATTTGAAGGGCTTTGTAAGTCTTTCAAGTGACACATCGGGGGCGGCATATATCCGGGAGGGAGGATTGCTTCCAGAAACGGAGGATTTTGGGCGGATCCTAATTTGGAGTCAACAGGCAGATCACAGGTAATGAGAATAAGAGATCTCACATTTAATCCAGCCGTCGCTAGGCTCGGCCAAAATTTCAACGGAGATGATTCGTTTCGAAATAATGCTGCCCTTCTTCCTCTCAGCGTGTGAAGTCGCGTTGATGTGTTTTCGAGACGCGTTCAATCAGGCAGCCAAGCCAAGCAACAACACACCAAAAAGCCACGGAGTCACATGATCTCCACGGTCCCTCGGTCTTTTTTAGTCTTTGCCAAATGCCCCGCCAAGTCCGGTGCAAGCGCAGCGGGGAGAACTCGTCTCTGACAGCGGATCGCACGCCCCTTTCAAGATGGCTCCCGATGTTGCCAGTTGGAACGGATGGCTGCGGACTTTTGGGCTGGCTACCTGAGCGGGGCCATTGGCATAATCATTGGCAATCCCTTGGATATGATCAAGGTCCGCCTTCAGGCTTCCAACATCAATGCGGCTAATGTGACAACCGCATCGGGGCTTAGGGGCCAGTTTGAGAGCGCGGGTTCGCTTGTCAGAGGTTAGAACTGCCTGGATTTCTGAGTGACGACTTGTTGGATATTGCTCATACTTGTTGAATAGGCGCAACAGCCCCCATCCTTGGATATGGAGCTCTCAATGCCCTTCTCTTTGTCGCCTATAACCGTACTTTGCTGTATTTATCCCCGTCAACAGTTGACCCTACAAATCCTATAGGCGTCCCATTAACGCAAATATGGCTGGCGGGGGCAGTCGGAGGACTTGCAAGTTGGACTATATCATCTCCGACCGAGCTCGTCAAATGCCGTGTGCAGCTTAACACCCACGAGCCTGTTTCCTCTTGGGCTATTGCAAAGGATATATTGCGAGCTCGGGGTTTAAAAGGGTTTTATTTTGGCGGTCTAGTTACAAGCATCCGTGACTCCGTAGGATACGGCTTCTAGTGTGTCACTTCAATCCCAGCTGCCTTTCATATTATCTAACGAGTGTGGAACGCCAATTAGTTTCTGGTCTTATGAACTAAGTAAACGCTTCATGGATTCTAGAAATGCTAGCCCCCAACAAGAAGCCGCTAAAATTCTATTATGTGGTGGAATCGCAGGAGTCGTGACTTGGGCATCCGTGTTTCCGCTAGACGTGATCAAAACACGACTCCAAGCACAACCGTTTCCGGATTCCAGTCTACGTCCGGAGAGGGGGCCACTGTTGGCAAGTACTACCCGCAGTCAAACGGCAGCAACTGGCCGACTACTGAATTCGATGGAGGTCGTGAAGCAGGCATATCGCTCTGAAGGATTAAGCATATTTTATCGTGGGCTTGGAGTGTGTAGTCTTCGAGCGTTTATTGTGAATGCGGTACAGGTATGACAAGTCTAAAACAATTGAACAGCCACAGCTACTGACTGATGCAGTGGGCAACCTACGAATGGGTTATTAGGCTATTGGAGCAACCGCGTGACCTGCCTCGAATCATAGAAAAAATCTAAGCTTGAAAGTGTTTTGATTATTTGGTTGGGTATAAAACTTTTAGAAAGCTAGAGCAATTTAATAGATTCTCACTTTCTCCGGGCAGCAGGGGCCATCTTCTGTGCCAAACCTCCCTTTTAAGAAGTTTCAAGGCATCGTGGCGATCGTTCCAAGCCCATCTCGTGCACACGTCGGTAATCACAGTGCATGCTAGTTGGAGATACAATAACTTTAGTATCGTTAGTGTAGCGTGAACTTCTTAAAATCGAGAATGTGATTCCAGTGTTCCAAAATCGATATAAAAAATCCAACAAAATGCATGTCAATCAGCCCTGCAATGACTCGGTTATCTCCATCGCCGTTGCATCCGTACGTTTCCCGTTATCTGTCGTTAACCCGACCACTGACTCAGCTAGTTTCTGCGTATGGGGCTCTTCTTTTAACAATCGTATTCTATAATAAGATCAGCGGTTTGCCGGAACGTCTAGGGGTCGGTGTCCGCTTTACCTGCGCTTGTGGTTTTTGCCCTTCCGATGAGCTGTCATGTTGTATTCACTCTCAAACCATTTTGCGCACTCGACGCAGTAGTATTGACCCAGGCCGGGTAGATCCTCGACATCCTTTGTCTCTTTGTATATTTCCAGGTGCCGGGCAGAATCGATATCGTTGCGGACTTGGTCGTAATCTCTGGCGGCAGGTTAGAACAGTTTAACTTGGAAGAACATGAGCAGGAACAGACCTCGTCCGCCGCTTGGTTTTGGAACGTCTAATTGCTCCCATTGTTTCTGAGGTAAATCTTTGCGGTCCGGTGGTTTTGCTGGGAATACACGTCGTCTACCAAAAATGGTTATCGATAAGGGCAGATCACGGAGCCGGATCAACATTGTCCCGGCTCCTTGTTCTCATCCATCCATGATGGATGAATAGGGATGGATCAATGGCAAGTTGAATATATCAAAGTCATAATTATGACAACCCCGTATCACGCCATGTTCCAGGGCAAAATATTGCGCCGGAATAATCTTGAAATATTCAATGCAAGCTATTGCGCTTTGCAGTGATCACATTGCTGAATTAACTAACTAGAGAGGACTCTGGCCTCGGCAGTATATAGTTGGCTACCACGGCTATCCAAAGGATTGAGTCCGGCATCTTTCAAAAAATAGCATAAAACTGCTGTCTGGGTTTGTTAGGCTGAACCAATAACTAGTTGCCGGCCCTGAAATCGTGGTTGCTATACTTCGTGAGCCCGTATGTATTTCTAGATCAGCACTTGAGGACAGGTGGTATCAATCGCAAGATCCCGGACATGCTGCTCAATTGGGGTCATGCGATTGCTATTCTATGATGATCAGTAGCTTTCATTACACTCGACATTTCAATAGAAGCTTGAAGAAACCTCTCTTTTACAAAAATTATGAAAATATATTTGGAAGGTTCATCCACCATTGAAAACAGCAAAAGGCTGTGGTAACTACTCGACAAAGATTTGGAATTAGCTTCCTGCTCCAAGCATCTTGCATCATGCATCGTCATCTGTACAATGATGCTTCAGAACTTCAACGCTCGAAGACAGCCGCAATAGCGAGGGCAAGTCCTGCTGCATGTTTAGTCAAGAGTATCCCCATTGCCCGATTCTTAGGAAGCGGATTTGGGATAAGAAAGGAGTCGAAGTCTGCACTTCCGAACTTCACTCAAGCCGAGATTTCTGTCAGCTACAGGGTTAGGTAGCAGTGCATGTTTAGCGCCTGCTATGAAGGCCTCCCTGTTTCTGGTCTCCGTATGTAACAAAACGGTCAAGTTCTTCCGTCTCGCGGCCATTAGGCACCGGTCAATGGCTGAACAACTTCAGAGCAGCTTGAAAACAGACAGTGAGCGAATGTCGATTGAGTAACTAGCAGAAGCTGACAACACAGAGCTGCCTACGAGCACCATTCACTGTCGGGTAAAGGTTCTTCTTTTGACAGTGCAGCCTCCCAGCCGATCCGCCAGGAGCTGACTGCCGATAAATAATTATGTCATTCCGCACAAACAGGGCAGTCTGGCAATCTAAGCCTGGCGGACAAGAGGAATGCCTGCTGGGCCGCCAATCACGCACGAGGGATTTTCAACTCGAGGTCTGCAGGTCAATTGAAATTTTCTTAGTTTCTTGGCTCCGCGAATCACAGCGCGAGTTGTTGCTGACACATGCTTGCATTGAGCCGTGGCTATCCACCAGGGTAACTTACCGTATATGTATTAAACCAAACAAGCGCGAATAACAGCCGAGGCCTCAAAGTCTACCATTGAAAGCCTCTCCCGGGGTAAAACGCCTAGTGTCAACGCGAAATGACACGTTTTGGTTGTTTCATAACGATCTTGGTTACAATGGCCGAAGTTGCATCTCCACCCGAACAACATCGAGCTTCCGCATTTTATTCTTCGCTTCTCTTCTCCTCGATCTTCGAAATTCGATCCTCAAGACACATCTCCTTTCATCCCTTGTTCCTCTTTCACCCAAGGCCTTCGTCGAGTAGCTGAGATTGCCTCGACATTGGATGTGCCGCAGAATACCACTTTAGACCTTTGCCTAGGAATCCGAAGTCATGATCACCACTAGGCTTACCCGCGCGGGTGCTTTGGTACGTTGTCTCCGCCGCCTCTTGTTCGGCTTGGTGCCCCAATGGCTTCTATCAGGCCTTTACTTACAACAATACCTTTGACTAACCCTTCCTTTGCTACAGGCATCCAGATCCCGCCTCGTGAGTGTGGCACTGCCGCCGGACAGGTACCCCGCAGTGGGATACTGTCCGGAACTTGTGTGAACAAAGCTTGGGCTTGCTAACAGTAATTTCTTCTCTCCAGCTCCTTGGAGCGCGGGGTATGGCCACTGTCGGTGATTCTCCGCTTGACAAGAAAGTCGAAATGACCAATTGGGAGAAGGCAAGTCACCCGAACCTACCGGCTGAACCTGTGTGTGAGGGCTGCTGAGATCGAGTCGCAAGTGCTACAGTTACTGTAGGGCACTATATCAACTATAAGTATGTTCTACAATGCCTTCTGCCCACAATGGGGCGACGACTGTTTGTTTGTGCCTGGGTTCAATCATTTGATGGACAACCCCGGCACGATCGAGCTAGAATTTCGACTCCGTGGACAGTGCAGTTACTGATTGCCATGCCTCTTTTAGGAAAATGTCTGAGAATTTGGACATTGTCCGAGCTCGTTTGAACCGCCCTCTTACTTTTGCAGAAAAGATTCTGTATTCTCACCTCGACGACCCACACGGCCAAGAGATTGAGCGCGGAAAGTCTTACTTGAAGCTGCGACCGGATCGCGTTGCTTGTCAAGACGCTACTGCTCAAATGGCCATTCTGCAGTTCATGTCGGCCGGCATGCCATCAGTTGCTACCCCAAGTACTGTCCACTGCGACCACTTGATCGAAGCCCAGGTTGGTGGGGACAAGGATCTTGCTAGAGCCAACGAGATTAACAAGGAAGTTTACAACTTCCTTTCTTCTTCCTGCGCCAAGTACAACATTGGATTCTGGAAGCCAGGCTCCGGCATCATCCATCAGATCCTTCTTGAGAACTACTGCTTCCCCGGTGGTCTCATGATTGGTACTGACTCGCACACTCCTAATGGTGGTGGTCTCGGTATGGCCGCTATTGGTGTCGGTGGTGCTGATGCCGTGGATGTGATGGCTGGACTGCCATGGGAGCTGAAGGCCCCCAAGGTCATTGGTGTGAAGCTCACTGGTGAATTGTCTGGATGGACCGCTCCAAAAGGTATGCAGCTAAGGTTCAAAAATCCCCTTAAATGCGACACTGACATTTGAACCAGATATCATCCTAAAGGTTGCTGGCATCCTCACTGTGAAGGGCGGAACCGGCGCTATCATTGAATATCACGGACCTGGCGTTGACTCTTTGTCCTGCACTGGTATGGGTACTATCTGTAACATGGGTGCCGAAATTGGCGCTACCACTTCCGTTTTTCCCTTTAACGAACGCATGTACGACTACTTGAAGGCCACGAAACGTCAACCGATTGGAGACTATGCTAGAACCTACGCCAAGGGTCTCCGTGAGGACGAAGGCGCCGAATACGACCAGCTTATTGAGATCAACCTAAGCGAACTCGAGCCTCACATCAACGGTCCCTTCACTCCAGACTTGGCCACTCCTATCTCTAAATTTAAGGAGGCCGTCAAGGCTAACGGTTGGCCCAGAGGAGCTGAAGGTTGGTTTGATCGGATCCTGCACAAACTCTTCTTATGAGGATATGTCTCGTGCTGCTTCAATTGCCCGTGATGCTCTCAACCACGGGATCAAGGCTAAATCCCTTTTCACTGTTACTCCCGGTTCGGAGCAAATTCGTGCCACCATTGAGCGTGACGGCCAGTTGAAGACTCTCGAGGAGTTCGGAGGCGTTATTCTTGCCAACGCTTGCGGTCCTTGCATCGGCCAATGGGACCGGAAGGATGTCAAGAAGGGTGAAAAGAACTCGATCATTTCCTCCTACAACCGAAACTTCACTGGACGCAATGATGCCAACCCTGCCACCCACGCATTTGTCACCTCCCCAGATCTTGTCGTTGCTCTCACGATCGCGGGAACCCTCAATTTCAACCCTCTCACTGATACCTTGAAGGATAAAGATGGAAAGGAATTCAAACTTGCTCCTCCCACTGGTGCTGGTCTCCCAGCTAACGGCTATGATCCTGGCCGTGACACCTATCAGGCTCCTCCCAAAGATAGAGCTTCAATCCAGGTTGCTGTCAGCCCAACTAGCGACCGCCTCCAGGTTCTCGAACCATTCAAGCCTTGGGATGGAAAAGATGCCACTGGCATCCCAATCTTGATTAAAGCCCAGGGCAAAACCACAACTGATCATATTTCCAGTAAGTTCAAGATTCTTTGCATTACTAACTTAGAAACAACGTACTAAGAACCATAACCAGTGGCCGGTCCTTGGTTGAAATACCGTGGACATCTTGACAATATCTCCAACAACATGCTTATTGGCGCCGTTAACGCTGAAAACGGAGAGACCAACAACGTCAAGAACTTCCAGACCGGAGAATACGCCGCGGTTCCCGACACTGCCCGTGCCTACAAGGCCAAGGGCATTCAGTGGGTTGTGATTGGTGATTGGAACTACGGTGAAGGCAGCTCTCGAGAGCACGCTGCTCTTGAGCCCAGACATCTTGGTGGTCTCGCTATCATTACCCGAAGCTTTGCCCGTATTGTGAGTACCCCGAGTTTTATGCGTTGTGGGCTATAGGTGTTAACGTTTAATAGCATGAAACCAACCTTAAGAAGCAAGGAATGTTGCCTCTCACCTTCTCTGACCCAGCCGACTATGACAGAATCCCCCCCAACGCCACTGTTGACCTCATGTGCACCGAACTCGCCGTCGGCAAGCCCATCACTCTCCGTGTGCACCCCAAGGATGGAAAGTCGTTCGACGTTTCCTTGAGTCACACTTTCAACGAATCCCAGCTTCAATGGTTCAAGGATGGTAGTGCTCTTAACACCATGGCCAAGCAGAGAGCATAGACCTGATCCCGGAACAATTTCAAAGTTTCTGCTCGTCTCGCGGGGATTCAAGTTGTGGCATGCTTCGTAATATCAACTCGCGGATTATTACGGATGGCTGATCACAATTATGGCCACGGACTGTTTGAATAGCGTTCGGGCACAATTACCACGACGGACAGCCAATCTCAGAAGGGAATTATACGATCGAAAATGCGCATCTTTCAAGCCCTAAATCATGTTTACTTGTTCCACCTCGGCGTATCGGGGAATATGCAACGGAGGATAGTTATTTCTCGCCCTGGAGACGGTTTGATTGTTGCCACAGCAATATAGAATGGATGGAAAGAAAGAACGTGCTTGCAACTTGCACACCATCCCTTCATTTTCATTTTTCGGTTTCGTTGGTATCCTACAATTTTTTGATGTATATACTCAGTGTGTCTGTCTTCTTATTTTCCCGCATCTGTTTAGCCATAAAATGTCGTCTACGATGTTCAGTTTATTGTATGTACAATTACACATGTTATTTTTCCTGAGAAAACACCAACCTTGCGTTTCCCCGGTGCCCTCCAGCTGCCGGGCGCTGAGATTCGGCATTCCCATTTCTACGAAAATTACGTAACCAGCCGAGCTTCTAGGCTATCACAATCCAACCGGCAGGCTACCCAAATTGTGCCGAGGTGACTGACAGCAATGGACATCACAGGGGAGATAGGGTATACTCTGATGAGACCGACTCCATCCGTTCTGTCAATCTGAAATGGGAAAGTTTGGGAAACCTCCCTTTGTGACTATTCAAAATAGGTACTCACAGAAAATACGGGTCATCTGAGTGTCCTCCACCAGCGGGTTTTCGGGCAGTTATTACCACTGTTGTTGGGGCCCCAGGAGCTTGCGAAGCGAATCGGGCGGCAAATATGGCCACACAGTTGGTCTCACTACCAGAGGTGGAAAGGCTCAGTGCGTCAGTAATCAGGATACTTGCAGGCAATCCCGGGAAGGTATGTCGTTTCTCCGCTTCATATGGCAATACCTATTGGAGCAGATGCTAAACGTAATTAGTTTACGCTCCAAGGTGAGTCCTAATTAAGGGGATAAAGTTGAAAAGAAAGATCATCTGCGCTCCCATGGGAGAAGGAAAAATGCCAACCATCATTCAAACCAGGCACAAATACCTATCTTGTCGGTCGCGGGCCGCGGCGGCTCCTTATCGACACAGGCGAAGGTAAAGCCGGCTGGATCGCAGCTTTAAGATCGGTCCTTGCAGCTGAAAGGGCGACCGTGAACCACGCCCTGTTGACGCACTGGCATCACGATCATATTGGCGAACTGTGCAGGATTTGTCGAATTTATGCCCTGAAGCGAAGATATATAAGCATGACCTTGATGAAGGGGAGGAAGATATTGAAGACGGACAGGTGTTTAGCGTCGAGGGTACGACGTTGACGGCTTTCCATACGCCGGGCCACACGACGGATCATATGGCGTTTGTGTTTGAGGAGGAGAATGCGATGTTTACTGGTGATAGTGAGTTTTTTTTTTCTCTGCTATTTCTGTCTGCACGCTTCATTGTAGGGCTTTACCTCTTTCTCTTGACTGACGTCCGATAGATGTCTTAGGGCATGGTACAGCAGTGTTTGAAAACCTTGGGGTTTACTTATCAACTCTTGAAAAGATGAGTGCCCGTGGAGCAAAAAGAGGGTATCCGGGACACGGCCCGATCATTGAGGACTGCAGAACAAAGATCATGGAATACATCAACCACAGACGCCAGCGAGAGAATGAGGTCCTACGAGTCCTCGAAAACGGCACACTTGATACCTCGAGCATTCAGGACTCCGATAGCAAACCGTCCTCTTGGACTACAATGGAGCTGGTCAAAATTATATATAAAAATGTGCCAGAGAATCTGCACCTCCCGGCGTCTCATGGCGTGAACCAGGTTCTTCTGAAACTGGAGGGTGACGGGAAGGTAACCCACGACCTGAAATCCGACAAGTGGACTTTGGTCGGGATAAAATCGGCATTATGAGTTGTTATTCGAGTTTATAACTTCTGTACTCTGTATATAGATTCACTTATACCCCTGCGAGAGCTGAATGCCAATAACATCTTGAACCACGTATCCAGACCGATGAGTGCTATGATAGTCTTGCTCATTGTGGTACTGTGATACATCTACTGCATCTACCCACTGGCTGCGGCGGCAAGTCTCCGAGTTCAAACCTAGCCGTCTTACCACCGGATAGCAGGGTAGATGCGATCTCAATTTGAGACAAGCTCCTCGGGCTGCGGGATCGAAGTTACGAGAAACAAGCCGAATATCAAAGACAACTAGAGAACTTCTACAACAATATAATCACCACTAGATATCGATGCTCGCGACTGCTCACTATTCAAGTTACTGTATGAAAAGGCCCGCCTGGGCTCCAGGAATGCCGTCATTGTCGCTCATCTCTTTATCCACCGGCTTCCACGATCCAGCGGCCAGTCGCCCATTTTTTCTACGTTTCAACGCTCCCGAACTCTGTGATGCCGGTATCCTGGCTTCCCGGTTTCGTCAAAGTCTCTGCTGAGTGTCACTTTGAAGATTGCATGGCTAGCTCCGGTCCGTAGTCACGACATATCATAGTTATAACTCCTCCGTAGTTACTCTCCGCTCAGGCTCACAATTGCTGGCTGATGGACTCGCTATTAACGGCTTTTCGAGGCAAATTCCGCATCTTTGTGCATTCCTTGATTCCTGCACGCTTCTGATCCCCAGTGACGAGCAAGCACCCAGGCGCCAAGCAGCTGTGGCGTCTGACTTGGTTCCTTGCCTCCATCCATCCCTGCTGTGTTCCCCAGTTCTCTCGCCCAATTCTCGCGTTTCCACTCACGCATGCTTGTCGGACAAGAGAGTGCCCGTTTCTTTTTGAGGCGCCGAAGTTATGTCATACTAAAAATCACTTATCACACGGGGCTAGACCACGAATTGCTCTCAATAAAGACCGAACATACGTAGCTCACATATTTAAAACGAGCTTCCCAACGAAAACCCCACGCCGCTCCAGGACTCGATATCAAAAACTGCTTTTTGTGCTGCTCAACGGCTCTCGCCTGTCATTTTCGCATTCAATCGCGGATCACAACTTTTCAATCCTAACTTATACGTGAACCAACCGCAATGCCAGCTTTCGATTCGCCGCCGCGAGAGGATCCCAGATTACTTCTGGTTTCCAATCGACTCCCAATCACGATTAAACGCTCGGATGATGGCAAATACGATTCCTCAATGTCGTCGGGCGGCCTGGTAAGCGGACTAAGCGGCCTGTCCAAGACAACACAATTTCCAATGGTACGGCTGACCGGATCTAGAAGTTCCCGGAGGATGAGATCGACATGGTC